GGAAAACAAAGTATTTATTTGTGTGTCTATTCCCAATATTTCATGAATTATGGAGTGGTTAGAGATAAAAAAACTCTTAAAAACATCTGTCAAAAAAGACATTTCAACCTGACTTCAAATTTGTGCATATTTAAAGAAATAATGACCCATTTGCATTTTAGAAATATATATAAAGTATATAGCACATAAATAATAATAAAATCATTTATTTAATCAACTGGGGAAATATGATGATAAATTATTTTAAAATATTCTATAATTTCAATTATTATATTCTTTTAAGTTACTTTATTAATACGTTATATAATAAAATCCATTCTCCTGCAGCGTCTTGCCATAAAAGAGAATTGAATATATATTGTTGATTCACACCAAACTCTCTCCCCAGTCTACTGGAAACATCTAGATAAGCTACGAAGGTCAACCAATCACAAAAGAATCAATTTGCATGTAGAATTCTTAAAGATACAGTAGCATAAACAGCTTGTTTGAATTTAAAGGTCAGAGAGAGGGTGTGACACTAAATTATGATTGTTTTCTGAGCATGAAACCTTGACTAACGTAAGTGGATTCAAGGAAAAGTAATAAAATACTATGAAAGCGTCGAATATGGCCCCTTTAAGGTCGACGTTTAATGTGTTTTTACAGTGGGGCCCGTAAAGAGGGAGTGAACATGAGCTGACGAGAGCAGAAATGAGAGGAGATTAGGTTATGCAGGTTCGCAATTGTGTGTGTGTGTGTGTGTGTGTGTGTGTGTGTGTGTGTGTGTGTGTGTGTGTGTGTGTGTGTGTGTGTGTGTGTGTGTGTGATTGAGGGAAAGAATGAGTGCTTCTTTACACTGTATTTAAGAGGGATTGTGTTTTTTGTATTCTGTGCCATGACGAGATCATGACACTGTTAATGCATAAAATAAACCTCTGATCTGCAGTCTTTTGGTTTAAAGGAGCATTATATTCCATAATTCCCAAATCTGTGCTGATCTAAGGTTATTTAATGATTTATATTTAACTCAGATCTGACTGAAAAAAGCTAGCTAAGCCTATGTATTTAATCATAAACATCTACACCCATTATATTGAGTACTTTCATTTTTAAATTCATACTGACCATATTAAGTTTCAGTGAATGCTCCTGTTCTTATCCTGAGGAGTTCATCTGCGCACATTATTCCATATAAAATATCGCAGGCTATTTTAATAGCTGTTTGGGCATTGTTTTTAGCTCTGGTGTGTGTGATGCCCATTTTTCAAAATCCAATTAATTCCCGGTGGATAACATCAAGTCCCGTCCTACTTTTTTTTTTCTTGCTAAATATCCTGTTTCGCTGTGAAATGTCACATTACAAAAGTAAAATGGGTTGCGAATTGGGTTTCACGTAGACGTTAGAGAGCCATCATGTTATTGAAGTGAATAATTATGTTTCAATAATGACGTTCGTTTTTTTCACAGCGCTCTTAACTTTCAGCCACAATGAAAATCCAACGCGGCATCATCCATGAGACGCTGGAGTCACGCGCTTTAAAAGTGCGCACAAAGCTGAGTTAAGCTCATCTGAATCATTAAACAAAATCGCCTCTAATTAAGCTTGGCTGTTGAATTAATTTCAGCTGCGCTTGACTCCTCTCAGTTTGCAGTCACATGGTCAGAAATGTCAATGGGAGAACCGTTCGAGAGGAGAGAGTACAGTGGGCGACAGAAATAATGCAAGTGCTTTTATCAGATTAAGGGCTCAGTATGTGGGCTAACAAGTTTCACTCGCTGCAAGATTATGTGTTGGTTGAGTTTTTGTCGTTTTTTTAGATCAGGCTGAACACATACTTGCTAAATCAAGTGTGAACACTTTGACTTTGATTAAAATAGTGCAGAATCAAACAAGAATGATTTAGGGAGTAGAAGCCTGGAAGTTAGCACACAACACAATATTGTGTCAGTATTGGCTGACAATAGCAAAGCAAAATAGCATCTGTTGTAGGTATTGTTCAGTGGTTAACATGTGGTGACAAAACCACACGTGTACATAAGTTTGGTGAAGACATTATGAAGTTTTAGCCTAGCATTTTGCCAAAAATGCTATAATGTGTTGTCATGTATGAATGCTTTCGAATTTGGTTAAGATGGTGGTCAAAAAACCAAACACAACCGTTTGTTGGAGTTGTAACCAAGTGGTTAGCATGCATGCTAAAAACGTTAGCTCTTGAAAACATTAAGTTTGGTCAAGATAGTTTTGCAAACCCAAACCAGCACTTTAAATCGTGTGTGTGTGTGTGTGTGTGTAAATGTTTTGAGTTTAGCTAGGATTGTGGTACCAAGTCATAGAAAAATGGAAACCATTGATAAATGTAGGCTAGCAAGTTACAAAATATGAGACAAGACGTTATGACAAGATGTTTGCTTCAAAATACTAGAGAACGTTTTAAGTTTAGTTAGGTTGCGACAAGTTAAAAAAATGAATATGTTGTATCTATATCTTAGCACACATGCTACAAAACATTGGCATTCAAAAACAGTTTTTTTTTTTTTTAAATATTGTTGTAAAATCAGAATAAATGTTTATTGGACTCGTAACTTAGCACTTAAGCTACAAATTCTACAACATGTTGTGGAACAAAACCAAACAATACAGATTTATTAGAGGTGTAACCCAGTTGTTAGCATGCAGGCTAAAAGCATTGACTCATGTGTAGACTGGGTTTGGTTAAGATACTTTTTCAAAATTAAACCAGATGGAGCTGTAGCCTAGCAGTTGGTACATTTTAGCACAAGATATTGTGAATTTGGTGATGATTATGGTGAAACAAATCATAATAAATTGGTTATTTTTAAAGTAAGAACCAATTAGTAGCCTAGCCTTTAACAGATTGTACAACAAGATGTTTGGAAATTTCATTAAACTTGTGGTATAAATTAAAGCAAAACTTTTTTCGGAGTTGTAGCCACGTGTTTAGCATGTATACTACATAATATTAGAACAGTAGATTTTAAATTAGACATTAGGTGTGTCCCAAATCGCATACCTATGCACTATTCTACGCCTTTTTGTAGTATAAATAGTCCACTACAAAAAATTTGGATTGTTGGACACTTCACACTCCAATGCCGCTGCCTTGCTTAGGTGCACAGCAAAACCGAACAAACAAAACCGATTTAGCTCATTAAAAAAAAGTCTTGGTTAAGATAGTTTTGCAAAATGAAACCAGCATGTTGTACATGTGTGTGTAAATGTTTAACGTTTAATTAAGATTGTGGTACAAAATTGGAAACCATTGGTAAATGTAGGCTAGCTAGTTACAAAATATGACGTAGCGTGTAAGACGTTATCATGAATGATTGCTTGAAATTTGATTACGCTTGTGGTACGAAATAAAGCAAATCTTTTGTTGGAGCTGCGGTATAGTGATTAGCATGTTTGCTACATAACATTAGAGCACTAGTGAATGTTTTGAGTTTGGTTAAGATGCTACATTATCAAAACAAAAATTGCTTCGCACACATGCTACAAAACATCAGTGTTAAAGAACAATGAGTTTTTTTTAAATAATGGCACAAAATCAGACAAAAACAGTTTTATCGGAGCTGTAGCTTAGCACTCAAGCTGGCAAATTCTCAGAATTTGGTTGATATTGTGGTACAAAATCAAACTAAACAGATGGAGATGTAACCAAGTTATTAGCATGCATGCTAAAACATAGATTTATGAGTACACAGGATTGTAGGCTAGCAGTTGGCCCATTGTAGCACAAGATGTTTTGAGTTTGGTGAAGATTGTTTAAAAAAACATATAAATTGGAAACCAATTATGAGGCTAGCCTTTTACAAAACGTGTTTGAAATTTGGTTAATCTTTAGCAACAAATTTAAGCAAAACATTTGTTTGAGTTGCAGCCAAACGATTAGCATTTATGCTACAAAATATTAAAGCTCTATATTTTAGATAGCTTACATGCTACAAAACATTAGCATACAAGAACACATTGAGTGTAAAATAACAGTACAAAACCAAACAAAAGCTGTAACTTAACAGTTAGCATATCTAAGCTATGTAGTGGCAAAACATCTGTTGAAAGATAATAGCAGCAGTTGCTGCATGATGCTAACCAGCCAAACCTTAATGCCTCAGACTGTGGATTTAGATCGCAATGTTCTCGCAGAAGTGTTTTCCCAATCACTTCCAGCCCTTTTCTCCATTGTCATATTAATAAAACTCCATTTAAGCTCACGCGAGCATTAGCAAGCGCCCAACATTTGTCATTTTTCCAGACTCAAGGATCAATGTTTGAAAGCGGGATTTGACTGACCAGACTACGCTCATTTGAGGTGAACGTGTAATGGGGACGTACAGTCCTGTTAACCTTTATTGAAAGCAGTTGTGTTTACACACCTAAGCCATGCCATTTGCTGGGCTGAGCTGCGCGCTAGCAGAATTGAGAATATTATATCAGATTAGTGTGCATTAAAAGGAGTCTGAGGCCTATATTAGTGTAATCCCTCTGTTTTAACCTGGGCTCGTCCATGTGGCTGAGCCGTGAACCCACTGCTGGGCTACACAGCTCACAGTCCAGCGGATTACTGTGAAATCGAGAGGGCTTAATGGCCCTGCGTGCGCGCGTTAGTGTGTGTGTGTGTGTGTGTGTGTGTGTGTTCATGCGGGCGAGTGTGCAAGTGTTCACATGCATGACGGGGTTATGGAAGTCCAAGCGCAACGGCTGATCTCTACACAACAACACACACATACCCAGATGCTTTCATGATGAATGCTCTCACGAACACGTCTCGTAATTGCATATTCACACACGCAAGCGGCCCAGAAGTGAGGCAAGATGCTGATTACCCGTTTTATGTTGATGTGAGGTCTTCTGTTCCACCTGGTCCCGCTCTTTACGTGACCCATTTTGTTGCATTGCGTTTGGTTGCATCATTGTGTTTCACTGCAACAAACCTGCAGCACCATTTCCCTGCTGTAATGCGCGCCGTCTTTTTTTTTTCCCTTTCTTTTTTTAACAGGGCCAATGAGATTGAAGCGGTGATGACAGACTTGGAAAGAGCCAATCAGGTAAAAGACCATATTCCTCATGGAAAAGCCACTCGTATTTCTATTGTATGCAAATCTGAGACACAATAACAGCTTGTTTTTATTATTAATATCTTTGGGCTGATGGACTGTACAGAAGTTGCAGTGCTAGTTTGCACATTTCTTTTATTAGCGCGCACGACTTTATTGGAGTCACATTTATTCAAGTTCCACATATCCTAATTCTCCCCATCTGCTTTCCTTTTGGAAGAAATCCATCATTCCCTTGCACTTTTTTGAGCTCTGAGCCCCAGCGGCTAAATCTAAATGGATGTTTTTACATCTTTTATGTGATGCAATTTAAAGAATCTCTTGCATTTATATAAATATACCTTATTATAAAAATGCATGTGGATCCGTTAGTGTATAACTACTGATGACATTTATTCTAAATTAATAAAATAAAATATGTTGTCATTTAGATCATTTTTTAAAAAGTTAATTGTTATTACTGTATAAATTTTTTAGGCAACATTAATGCTTTAACTTTAGATGAGATAATAATGACTAGTTGTCATTTTCTCCAATTAATTATTCAATTACGGTGTAAAAATCTGAAATAAATATGCAAGTTTTGTTTTTTTTTAGACAATTTAATAATTGCAAATTAATGCTTGTTATCAGTAATAAAAAAACAAATAAAACATGAACACAAAAAACATCAGCCTTATTCCAAAAAGGATTAAATTAATTTATTTTCTCAGAATTCTACACACAATATCCCATAATGACAATGTGAAAAAAGATTTTTTGAAATTGTTGCAAATTTATTTAAAATAAAAAGCTGAAAATCACATGTACATAAGTATTCACAGCCTTTGCTGTGGAGCTTTAAATTGAGCTCAGGTAAATTCTGTTTCCACTGATCATTCCTGAGATGTTTCAGCAGCTTAATTGGAGTTCACCTGTATTAAATTCAGTTGATTGGACATGATTTGAAAAGGCATACACCTGTCTATATAAGGTCCCAGGGTTGACAGTGCATGTCAAAGCACAAACCAAGCATGAAGACAAGGGAATTGTCTGTAGACCTCTGAGAAAGGGTTGTCTTGAGGCACAAGACTAGGGAAGGTAACAGAAAAAATTCTGCTATGAAAGTTCCAATGAGCACAGTGGCCTCCATCATCCGTTAGTTGAAGATGTTTGAACCACCAGGACTCTTTCTAGAGCTGGCCGGCCATCTAAGCTGAGTGATCGGGGTAGAAGGGCCTTAGTCAGGGAGGTGATGAATAACCGGATGGCCACTCTGTCTGAGCTCCATGCTTGGAGAAAACCAGGCTCATCAACAGGCTACTACCATCCCTACAGTGAAGCATGGTGGTGGCAGCATCATGCTGTGGGGATGTTTTTCAGCCGCAGGAACTGGAAGACTAGTCAGGATAGAGGGAAAGATGAATGCAGCAATGTACAGAGACATCCTGAATGAAAACCTGCTTCAGAGTGCTCTTGACCTCAGACTGGGGCGACCGGTGCATCTTCCAGCTGGACAATGACCCAAAGCACACCGCCAAAATATCATTGGAGTGGCTTCACAACAAATCGATGAATGTCCTTGAGTGGCCTAGCCAGAGCCCAGACCTTAATCCTATTGAACATCTCTGGAGAGATCTGTAAATGGCTGTATACCTTTGATTCCCATCCTACCTGAAAGAACTTCAGAGGTACTGCAAAGAGGAATGGACAAAAATTCTCAAAGACAGGTGTGCCAAGCTTGTGGCATCATATTCAAAAAGACTTGAGGCTGTAATTGCTGCCAAAGGCCCATTAACAAAGTACTGAGCAAAGGCTTCAATTTCAAAAAATCTTTTTTCACATTGTCATTATGGGGTATTGTGTGTGGAATTTTGAGGAAATAAAGGAATTTAATCCATTTTGGAATAAGGCTGTAATATAAAATGTGAAAAAAGTGAAGCGCTTTGAGTCGCTGTATATCCTGAGGACTGTACATATATATATTATAAATAGAATTTATTATTATATTATTGTATTAATGTATTAGATTATATGTATTAGATTGTATTAATATATTAGATTATATATTAAGATAATTATCTTATATATTAATATCTAATTTGTTTCCACCATACTCAATTCTCTGAATGTATGTGTTTGTAAACACATCTAAAAATGCAAAACCAAGTTTTCTGTTTCTGAAAATGTAGGGCGAGCACTAAACAAACACCCGAGTGAAAAAAAAGTTTATAATCATTGTTTTCATTAGCATTATTATTCCAATCAACAGAAAAAAGAACATTTGGTAAGACTTGTTACGTAGACGTTTAGAATAAATTAGCATAATTACACTCGCGATTTCCATAAATGCATAAAGATGGCGGTGTTAGATTCGGTGCAGCTAAAGGTTGAACGCTTTAAGCAGGTTTTTCCACAATATATTTCATTTCTGAAGCCTCATTGTTGGTGAATCCAGACATTTGTCTTTAGGTCAGGCATCAGTTCTAGGTCAACAAATAAATTAACACCCCACTCTTGATTTTAAAACCAACTCTGCATATTCGGCGAGTTAACCAGGCGTACATACCTTGACACACTTTAGCTTGAACACTGGAGCGCTCAGCCAAGCAGGACCCATGTGAGTTCAGTTAACATTTTTCAGCACAACCCTAAAAAAAAAACACAGGCCTGTGATCTTTTGGCTCTCGGTCTTCACTATTCACAAACGTCGGTTGATATTACAGTTATGTATCTTTCACTCTGGCCATTTTTAACCCATTTGTTCTGCTGTTCGTGGCCTACAGAGGGCCGAGACGGCAGAGAGGGAGGCCGGGACCCTGAGGGAGCAGCTCACTTCTGCTGGAAAGACCATGCAATCATCCAATCAGATCCAGAACGCTCCGGAAATGGTGAGAGAGAGAAAGAGAGATAGTGCTTGTGCTGTAGAGAGAGGATAGAAAAGAGAATGGCTGTGCTGTAACACTGTCTATGAGGCATAATCATACAGTATAATGGATTATCAAATAGTTTTTAGTGCATTATGCATGAAAAGCGGGGTAAATATATATAAAATGCTCTGTATTATGACTAGATTTAATCTTAGTGTTTGTTAATAGTGTAATTGAAGAGTTAATTTGCAAACATGGATAGAAATGTTGAGTTTCATAAATCCTGTTTAATGAAGAGTTTATTGGCAAAAAACATGTAAAATTTAATAAAAATGGAGCTGTTTGTTTTGGTAAATTAATTTAGTTATTCTGAATATTATTATAAACAGATTTTTTAAAGTCATCTTTATATAATTTAATTATTAATTTGGGCTGTAATAATATTGAATTGTGGGTCATGTCTGATTTTGTTTGACTGCCAAAAATCTTATAAAATTGTAATAAGTTTAGCAATGTTTTGGTATCAAGAAACTAACTTTTGTAGTTTATTAATAGTTTGATTGAGATTTTTTTTATGCTTTAAAAAAAGATTAAACAAATAACTTCATATAACTTAATAAATAATCTGTTCTATAATCAGCCTGTCTTGTAAGCTCATAATTTAAAAGTTGTTAAATTACCTAAAATAATGAATAAATTAAAAGTATATAAGCATTATATTTATTTCAATCTTTTTATATGTACAGTTGAAGTCAGAATTATTAGCCCCTCTGAATTATTAGACCGCTTGTTTGTTTTTTTCCCAATTTCTGTTTAACGGCGAGCAGATTTTTTTTCAACACATAATAGTTTTGATAACTCATCTCTAATAATGGATTTATTTTCTCTTTACCATGATGACAGTACATAATATTTGACTAGATATTTTTTCACGACACTTCTGTACAGCTAAAGTGACATTTAAAGGCTTAACTAGGTCAATTAAGGTAACTAGGCAGGTTAGGGTAATTAGGCAAGTTATTGTATAATGATGGTTTGTTCTGTAGGTTATCGAGAAAAAATCTAACTTAAAGGGGCTAATAATTGTATCCCTAAAATGGTGTTTAAATTTTTAAAACTGCTTTTATTCTAGCCGAAATAAAGCAAATAAGACTTTTTTCCAGAAGAAAAAATATTATCAGACATACTGTGAAAATTTCCTTGCTCTGCTAAAAATCATTTGGAAAGTATTTTAAAAAGAAGAAATAAAATGAAGGGGCTAATAATTCTGACTTCAACTGTATAAGTGTAGATGAATGCAGATTCATATTCATTCATTTTTTAGATTGAATGAATTATGAATGAATGATGAAAAATAAATAATAAATGCATTTTAACAGCATTAAATATGTAAACACTTCTAGGTAATATAATACTTTAGCTCTGGTTACATTTAATATTGCTTATGAAATGATTACAATATTTTATAAGCTTCTATTAACCTTATTGCTTTACACAGCATATGCTTAACAAGCCTTGTTTATGTATGTAGATATGCATTCCATGCATACAGAATGTCAATTTGCAGTGTTATTTATTTTATTTAGTTTTTATTTTGTATATACTTTGTCTGTTATCATTTACTCACTTTGTAAAATAAACACTATTGTTTAGGCATAGTTGGTTGTTAGTCTGCTCCCATTGCCACCAACATTCTCAAAGGGGTCATACAATTTAAAATGTTGCTGTAACCCTAGCATTTCCATCTTAAATAACCATAACAATTGGTGTTTATTGACAAAATATTGTCAATTGCAATATTTTAGTGTGCTGTGATCTATATTGCGAGATGAATATAATCTAACCAGATGACTTCAATTGTTCTAGTTGGAAAGAGTTCATCCATTTAGATAAACTAGGATGATCAAGTCTTTTTCTACACAGTGCATCTGCATACATTTTAAAAATAAAAACAAATAAATAAACAGTGCTTTATGGTTTTCTGAAGAGTCTGATTACTTTCAAGCTACAGAGATTGAATAATCAAATTTAAAATAATTTGATCATCATCGTGTAAATTATTAAATAATAAATAATCTAATCCTGCGATGTGACTATTGCAGATACACACATTGCGATATCGATATATTGTTCAGCTCTAGCATTTAGCATTGTAAATCGTGTGTGTTTGTGTCTACAGGACAAGTCTCTGGAGGCAGAGCTGGGTGCGAAAGAGAGGGAGGTGGAGCGTTTGGCTGAGGACGTTCAGAGACTTCAGGCCAGTCTGGCTCAGCTCAGCGAGACATCAACCAACCAGATCAGCCAGCTCGAGCAGCAGCTCAGCTCCAAAGAGGCACTACTAAAGGTCAGTCCAGCCAGCCACTAATGTGACGCATATAAAAGGCGCACCTAACCATTTTTGAAAAATGCTGTCTGACTGATACTCGGAACAGCCAATCAGCAGCAAGGGGTGTGTCTAGTCACAATGGAACCTTTTCACATTTCTGGGTTTTTCAGCAGCGGAAGTCGTCATAGTTGGGGAAACTTAGAGCGCAGTGAATAGGAGAGTACAACAAATTATATTTTTACAATCCTGTTTGCTGAAATAATAAAAGAAAAACTCCACAATGGTGTCATCAAGACAAGTTTATTTCTATAGCACTTTTACAATGTAGATTGTGTCAAAGCCACTTAACATAGAAGTTCTAGTAAAGTCCAGATTTCAGAGTTGAAGTTCAGTCAATTTCACTGCTGAAAGTTCAAACACTGAAGAGCAAATCCATCGATGCGCAGCTCCACAAGTCCCAAACCAAGCAAGCCAGTGATGAGGAAAAAAAACTTCGCCAAATTACAAAGTGAAGGAAAAACAAAAACCTTGAGAAAAACCAGGCTCAGTTAGGCACAGTCATTTTTCCTCTGACCAAATTTCCTGAGTGGAGCTGCAGTCTAGGTGCTGGAGGCTGAAGAACGCCGGACGTCCATCGTGGAAAACTGTTGGGGTGAGTAGGTCACCGGGGGGTCATCAGGCTGGCCCACAGAATCAGTGTGTGGACTCGTCTGTCACTGTGGTCTTTCAGGCATCAGCCTCATGTACTCCACTCCTCCATGACCACCATAGCATCAGCTCAAGATATGGCCTGGTCCGGGATTATGGATACGTTGGCATCCTTCTTCACAGGTTTTGGATCGCATCAATGATGCTGCATAATCGCTGGGGGCCTCGAGATGAGTATCCCCAGGTGGCAATAGAGAATCAAGAAAATAATTAGCGTAGCTGCTGTTCATAGTGTATTTAAACGAGATGCAAAAATTAAGTGCTATAAAAGAAAATAGTAGTTATATAAACAAACATAGAAACAAACATGTAAAGCATATGAGTGTTTGTAATAAAATGTCTTGTGCATGAAGGTGGATTGTCAAGCCCACTCACCTAAGTGGAGCACACTCAAGCATCATACCGTTATGCGATGCATTGTGTGAATGCTTTACTTGAGAAAAATTTGTGTGAGACTGATAACGGTAGCCAGAAGAGAGAATAACATCAAATTTGCTTTCATGCCCCATAGATGCTACATTAGAAACACCTCGCATAAGTGGTAATTCATTTTTTGTAATTTGATGCAAAGATAATTTAATACATGCATAAATATGGTTAAATGTTTATACGTTTTTAAAAATCTAAATATTATAAGATTATAAGATGCTAATGACCGTTAAACTTGTCACAACAGTCTTATAAAAAGGGTCCTTCGTGAAGATAATAAAAAGAGGTGTGGTCTTATTGGGTTATGGGTGTGTTTGTTTTGGTGCCTTTAAATATAAAAATAAAAAAGCTTGAAATTTTAATTTGCGCTCGCTTACAGTTGAAGTCAAAATGATTCACCCTCCTGTGAATTTTAATTTTTTTTTCAAAATGATTTTTAACAGATCAAAGAATTTTCCACCATATTTACCATATTTTTTTCTTCTTGTAAAAGTTTTATTTGTTTTATTTCGGCTAGAATAAAAGCAGTGTTTAATAATAAAATAAAAATAAACATTTAACATATTAGGGTCAATATTATTAGTCTTATTAGTCCTCTTTAGCAGTATTGTTTTCCGATTGTCTACAGAATAAACCATTGTTTTCAATGACTTGCCTAATTACACTAACTTGCCTAATTAACCTAGTTAAGGCTTTAAATTAGAATTTAAGCCCTACAAAAATAACTAATAAAGTATTATGTACTGTCATCATGGCAAAGACAAAAGAAATCAGTTTTTAAAAAATGAGTTAATAGTTTAGGGGGACGCAGTGGCGCAATAGGTAGTGCTGTCGCCTCACAGCAAGAAGGTCGCTGGTTCGAGCCTCGACTGAGTCAGTTGGCGTTTCCGTGTGGAGTTTGCATGTTCTCTCTGTATTCGCGTGGGTTTCATCCGGGTGCCTCGGTCTCCCCCACAGTCCAAAAACATGCGGTACAGGTGAATTGGGTAGGCTAAATTGTCTGTAGTGTATGAGTGTGAATGACCCGGCTTAATAAAAGGACTAAGCCGAAAAGAAAATAAATAAATGAATGAGTTAATAGTTTAAAAATGTGTTGAAATAAAAATTATTTCTGTTACACAGAAAAAATATACAAGCGGGCTAATAATACAATAATCCTGACTTCAACTGTACAGTACTGTGCAAAGGTATTGGGCCACAAGTATTTTCACAAGGAAATAATGATAAATATTGTGTAATACTAACAAATCATATAGAAAGAAAGTTTATTTATGCAGCTTTCAGGTCATGTATTTTAATTTCGTACAATTAACACATGACTGTTTTTCCTACCCAGTGTTACATATTAGTTAGTTAATAGTTAATTACTTAAAGTTAATAGTAACTAATAGAGTTATGCTACTGTTACTAGCCCTGACTTTTCTGATAGTAATACAGTAATGTGCACCTTTTGTAAAGGTGCTTTGAAACCATAATTATTCTGAAAAAAAAGCACTACACAAATAAACTTGAATTGAATATCACAAATATATAATAATTTTAATTGTAATTATTTTAAACATTCAAACAGCAGCATGTAAGTACAAATGAAGAAGCTCCTCTCTTTACTTGGCCCAACAGCTGTGGCAAGTACAAGTGAATGAGGCTGGTAGCTCATTATATAGCGGCGACCCATTCTGAAGTCACTTTAACGCTGGACTCCAGACACGGGCTGCTTTAACTCGACATTTGGTGTTGGATGAAGCGAACGGTGCTACTCGTGGCAGCAGTCAGATCTCTGCTGTGCGGCTGCAGGACAGGCCTGTAAATGTTGAGCCATGCGACCCATGTAGTGAACGTTTGGAGTTTGAGTGACGTCCGGCTGGATGGCAGGAGACTGAGCTGAGACCAAGCCTCGGTTGAGCCTCACACAGAGAGACGGCTCGGATCTGGCCTGCCCGTAGCCCACTCTACTTCTACTGAGCACACACACACACATTTAAGGAAATGAGTTTTAATGGGCTTTGTCTAGAAAGCAGAATGACAGATTTACAGTTGAAGTCAAAATTATCAGAATTATTCGTATCTATTTACCTAATGATGTTTAACAGAGCAAGGATTTTTCACAGTATTTCCTATAATATTTTTTTCTTCTGGAGAAAGTCTGATTTGTTTTTTGAGGCTAGAGTAAAAGCAGTTTTTAATTAAAAAAACTTTTTTTGAGATCACTATTATTAGCAGAGTAGGAGGGCTCAGGAGGGCTATTGATTCTGAATTCAACAAAATAAATAGACTGAAAAAAAATCACTCATTGAATTTTCTAGATTCTTTAAAAGGCAACTGGTTGCAAACAAATTAGTTAATTTAGTAATGTTTAGATTAATTTGTTTGTTTATATTCAGCCTATATAAATTGTTTGCTACTTGTTCTTTTCAGTGTAGCTGAATTTGTAGAGGTCATTTACACCCGTCTTTTGAAAAAATAGTGAAAAAAATAGTGTTTTTATATTGTTTTTTCCCCCACAAATTAACTCTTCATTGCACAATAACAAAACATGATTTATAAACAAATAAAGATTTGTTATCTATCTCTGCAAATGAATTTTCTTTCCTTTAGTGCATAAAGTTGCTGTTTAAGCATGAAAAAGGTCTGAAAAGTTGTGAAAATCCCAAATGTAAGCACATGTTTTTTTTGTTTGTTTGTTGTAACCCGAGTGTCCCATGTAAAAGCTGTAAAGGCTCTACCTCTATTAAAAAGGGGGAGGGGAGCAGTAGCTCATCTGCATTTAAAGAGACACAAAAAAAATGTTTTTCATTTTTGCTTCCACTTAAAAAAGGATGTTTGCAAAACATATCTATATATTGCAAAATATATTTACAAAATGATGTAAAGGCTCCACCTCTGTTGAAATTGAGAGGGGAACAGTAGCTCATTTGCATTTAAAGAGACCTAAAACTTTTTGTTTGTTTTTGCTTCCTCCCAAAAAAGGACATTTGCAAAACATCTTTATTTATCTAAAATATATTCACAAAAGGATGTAAAGGCTTCACCTCAGTTGAAAGGGGCAGGGGAACAGTAGCTCATTTGCATTTAAAGAGGCACAAAAAATGTTGTTTGCTTTTTGCTTCCACCCAAGAAAAGACATTTGCGAAACATCTTTATAAATCTAAAATATATTGCAAAAAACATTGACAAAATGATCCATCAGGTATTTAAAGTTTAAACTTTACAGATATGTTCAGCTAAAACCGAATTTAATATATAATATCCTAAAATACACATATTAAGATATTTAATATGTATATTTATCATCACAAAAAATAATATATGTAATAATAAAATTACCCTCTCTTGTCATTCCAAACCCCTAAGCTATTTTTATTTTATCGATAAAAGTTGCAGTTTTTACCTCGTTATTTTTACACTTAAAATGACTTAAAATTTCTGCTGCTTGTTCAAACTACTTATCTAAAATGAGCTGAAACAACACTATTGTTGACTGTTTTTGGGATCACTTAATTGTTTTATGTTCAATCCACTTAAAGTTTTAAAAATGATTAAGTTAACTTGATCGATTTGTGTTGGGAAGAACTTGTGTGGAAGCCAGCATTTTTTACGGTGTATTGTAACCAACCACTTATTTCACTTACTACTTAATGCCATCAAAATATTGCTATAAATGCCTCTCCAAGTGTGCCTTGTGCAATTTCAGAGCATAATATACAGTTCATACACTGATTCTCATTACAAAATCATTGGAAACTAAGTATATCTGCCTTTTCTGCTCTCCAGCAACTTGAAGAAAAGCTTCAAGATCAGTCAGACTACGAGGAGATCAAACGAGAACTCTGGTAAGTTCGGAAGCGCTAATTCTGTCAGTGCAAATAATCCTGACGCTTCAGCCTTTTCCTTCATGTTCATCTGAATATTTTTGCATTATTAACAATATTTTAATGCTGATGGGAATGCTGCATTATCCTTAATGTGATATTCAAGTACATTATCCTACTGTAAGCTTGGCTAGAATAAATGAAGGTTTCGTTTAGTGTGATAGGAGTTGGTCTTGTTTGTCCACTGATATAATTTAAGACCCTCAGAGCATTCTTAACCTTGCCCCATTTATAGATGTGTCCTTTCTGTTTTGATTCATCTTGATTTATTGAAATGGTTCACCGGAATTTTTTGGACAGGTTAAATTGAGCTGTGGAGCTTATAGTGTATAATATAAGTGCAAAATGATAAATGACAATGATCAAGATACTACTTGTTAAATAATAGAATACATTATTATTTAGTTATTTTTGCAGGGTTTTTACAGTCACCGTGAGCACCATGATGCTATATGTCGACGCAATTAACCACTGGGCTATTGGCACTGATGAATACATTTTTAAATAAGGGAATACTACACCAACATGATACATTACAGCACGATATTAGAATATATTATTTTTCTGGGCTACATTTTACGATATTGCATGTCATTTCACCAGATGAAATTTACAGAATTTTACGTTATGATGATTTTGTAGAGCAGTATTTAGGTACACAAATTTTGTATTTAAATGTAAATTGTGTGTGTGTGTATTTACGTATACTCAATCTTTCTTAAAGTTAAAAACATTATAATTTGTTGTGCATGAATGCTTTAAATGCTTACACAATCACAGGGCTTAAAAACACAAACACGATCAACTTTGGTTCCTGTCAACTATAATCCCACCTCAATGTTGTAGATCCTGCAATCTATTGCAGATGCCCACATATGCAATATTGATGTTGAAACAATATATTGTGCAGCCCTAGCCTAAACCTGCTAATGCATTTCAACCATTTTGCCTCAAAAAAAGATAAAAACAGCATATATTTTAGTGCAGTAAAAGTTTAAGACTCTCAAAAGACTCTTTTGTTTTGTAGATTTGTAAAATAATTTTTCCAAAGATTTTACTCATTTTAAATGAATGGGTCATTTTGGACCACGGTATGTAATAAAGTAACATTAGATAAAAAATAAAACTTTTTTGGTATTATAAAACTATCAATGGTAGCATAAATCATTAATTATTAATATCATCAATTTTTGCGATTTTCAATAAGCATATGTACCTGTTTTAGTTTCAATTATTTATCCATGTTATTTGTATTTATGCCAATGTATTTATTTAGTTTGAAAATCTATTTACTCATGTTATTTGTAATTTAATTTATATGTTCTTATACATTTTATATGATGCTATATTCTAGTGAATTGTATCATTCTAAAAAATGAAAAAAAAAAATACATCAAGATGATTTGCATACATACTAATGTGCTTGACGTATCAACATTTAAATAATGTAAATTTTAAATAACATTTTAAAGAATTTCTAAATTTCTACAATAATAAAAAGGATAAATCCAACAATACCATCGTAAAAACATGTAAAACTGATATATTTTTATATGAATTAATGTCATATGTCTTTAATGAAAATATGCTGATGAGAATAATAATATTAATAATCATTCAATCATTTTCTTTTTGGCTTAATCCCCTTATTAATCAGGGGTCGCCACAGTGGAATGAACCACCAACTTATCCAGCATATTTTTTATGCAGTGGTTTCCCTTCCAGCTGCAACCCATCACTGGGAAAAATCCATACACACTCATTCACACACACCCACTACGGACAATTTAGTCTACCCAATTCACCGCAGCACCCAGAGGAAACCTACATGAAAACGGGGAGAACATGCAAACTCCACACAGAAATGCCAACTGACCCAGGCTCGAACAAGCGACTTTCTTGCTATGAGTTGATTGTGCTACACACTGCGCCACTGTGCTGCCCAATAATAATCATAATCATAATAATAATTCCTTACATTTGTATAGTGCTTTTAAGGACAATCAAAGCACTTTACACGTTTTTCGGGGGGGGGGGGATCTCCTCATTCTCATGATGAAAACCAATTCACTGTTACAGTTTTGATTCCAATTAATACATTTTAAATTATAAAATGAATTAAAAAATGCAAGAATCTACTGACTTTGAGCTCATTATGAAGTCTAAAGAAGCGAAGGTTTTGTTCAGAATAACTTGACCTGGCCCTGTTTATCCACCTTTATAATTTAAGACCCTCAGACCATTCTTAACCTTTATCTTCCACTTTATTATGCATGTATCTTTTCCATCCTCTCTCTCTCTCTCTCTCTCTCTTGCGGCAGGGCTCGAACTATGAGCTCTTAGTACCTGGTGGTCTTGAACTTTACTATCAGACGTACCAAATTCGATCCCATTACAATCCAGCCAGCAGAGAGAGATAGATAGGAAGCGCAGAGATGGCCAAACCGCCTTCCACGCACCGACCTCTCCTTCCCATATTTTAGCAGCAGGAATTCTACTCGGCCGGTAATCTCCCGTTCGGTTTAATAAATTCAAAGAACCTTAGGTATGCAAGGAGTATTGGGTCTTATTTTTTGAGAAAAGCGGATTAAGCACGCTTTGTTGTCGGAGTGGTTTCTTGCGCGGGACTGAGGGATTGCTGCGTTTCATCTCCAGCCACGGCTGTAATGAGGAGGCTAACGTAGTTTGCATCGGCGATAACCTAATTGAGTGATGTGTGTGCTTTTGGCTCGGTCTGTGCAGTCGCGGTTTGTGTGTGTGTGTGTTTGGAGGCTTCAGGAGATGTCTGGCTGTCCGTTGCGTAACTCGATTTTAGGCGTAATATTCCCAATTGGGACTTATAAAGCAAGTAATCCATGAATAGAGGGTGTTGTTAAGATCTGTGCTAGTCTGATGATCGGCCTAAAAAGCTGCTTTGCCCCAATGTATATTGATAGCTTGTTGTCTACTCGAGGCGCATTCCACCGTAATATAATGAGCATTTTCACCCAAAAGGGCCCGGTTTAATCCATACATAGCAGATTAGCGTGCAACTAGGCACACGGGTTAATTTGGCCAATGTGATTGTAGGTGTCACAGGATTTATTTTTTATTTATTTTTTAATCACCATCTTGCAGCTTATTGTGTTCATTCTATCTGAAACTGAAGGATTCTGGATCAACGTTATGATTTTTTGTGCTGTTATTTTAAAATGTGAACTTTTTTTGTTGTTTTCTTTTACTCTCTCCAGCACCCTGAAATCAGTGGAGCACAACTCATCAGATCATCACTCTTCAGCGCAGGTAAGAAAGTTTGTCTGGATTGACTCGTCCTTGCGGTGTGTTCTTGGAGTTAAAGGAAGCATGTTTTATTACTGCTGATGCTTTTACATTAGGAGTTTTATGTCACGAGTTCGACCTTGTTCGTTTTTGATCAAAAATACACTTTAGTTTGTTTTTCTCAAAGTAATTCAGATGTAAATGATTTATTTTCTTTCTTTTGTTATTTTCTGAATTTCTTTATTCAATAATTGCTATTTTTCATTTGCTGTAATGTTTCTGTTGTTTGTCCTCCTATTTTACTCTCTTTCGCTTTTTGTTTGCTTCGTTTTTCACTTTTTTCTTTCCTTCTTTGCTTCCTTTTCCACCTCTCTCTGTTTCCTTTACTGTTGTTTTTTTATTTCTTTATTTGATATTTCCTCCTATTTTTCTCTCTGTAACTTTCCTGTTGTTTGTGCTGCTTTTATATCACTCTTTTCTCTTTTTGTTTGCTTCATTGTTCGCTTTTTTTCTCCTTTGCTTCCTTTTCGACCTCTCTGTTTCCTTTACTTTTTATTTGTTTCTTCTTTGATTTTAATTTTTTTATTTTACATTTTGTATTTTATTTGCTTCCTGCAACTTTCCTGTTGTTTGTCCTCCTTTTATATCACTCTTTTCTCATTTTGTTTGCTTCATGTTTTACTTTATTTCCTTTCTCCTTTAATTCCTTCCTTTTCGTCCTCTCTCCATTTCCTTTACTTTTTTTTTCTTGATTTCTTGATTTAATATTTCCTCCTATTTTTTGCTTCCTGCACCTTTCCTGTTGTTTGTGCTGCTTTTATATCACTTGTTTGTCTTTTTGTTTGGTTCATTGATCACTTTTTTCTTTTTTCTTTGGTTCCTTTTCGACCTATCTATATTTACTTTACTTTCCTTGTTTTGTTACCTTCGTGATTTCTTTAATTGATATTTACTTTTTTTTTGTTGCTTCCTGCAACTTTCCTCTTTTTTTCCTCCTCCTTTTATATAACTCTTTTCTCTTTTTGTTTGCTTCATTGTTCTCTTTTTGTTTTACATGTTTTTCATTTCCTTTCTTCTTTCCTTCCTTTTTGACTTCTTTCTGTTTGCTTTGCTTTCTTTGTTTTGCTTCTTCCTTTTCTTTTACTTCTTCCTAATATTGTTTCCTGTCCTTTCATTTTCTTCCTAATTCACTTTTCTTCTTTCATTTCCTGTCACTTGTTCTTGTTGGATTTTTTATTGCTTCTTTACTTCCCTCTTTAATTTTTTTCCATCTATTTCTTTTTCATTTCCGTGTTCACTTTTTACTTGTTTCTTTACCTTCAATTCTCTGCCCTGTTTTCCTGAATTCCTTTTATATGGTCTTTCCATGCCTTCCAAATCTTTCATTATTAAAAACATCATTCTTCCTTCTCTATTTTCCCCTTATTTTTATTATTTATACCTCCGTTTAATTGCTGCTCTGTGTTTTTGTTCTTTCTTTCTTTCTTTCTTTCGTTCTTTCTTTCGTCTGTTTCCGTTCTGTTTTTACCTTCTTTCCTTCCATCTAACTTCCATTGCTTCTTTCTGCCATATCCCTCCCTTCTTCTGTCCCCTTTTTTCACTTCCTTTATGTACCTTCCTTCTCTTGTTTCTTTTTTTTCTAATTTCTTACATTTGTTTCTCTTCTTTTCTTCCTTCTTTTTTTTCTTCTTTCCCTTATTATGTCTTTCCTCCTTCATTCCTCTCCTTACTTTTTTTTACATCCTTATTTCCTTTCTCCTTCCTTCCTATTTCCCCCCCTCCCCACCCATTCTACACTTTAGGACTCATCCAAGCCACTGGAGATGTTGCTGACAGGGAAAGACCATAGCCAGCTGTCAGAGAGCGCTTTGAAACGACTGGCCAACAGTGACTTCACTGGTAAGTTTACAATCTCCTGGCTTTCCTAAAAACTTTAACCAGCCAAACACACACATAAACTAAGATTATCCATTGATGACTTTTTTCCAAATCCAACTTCTCCTACGATATACAGCCGAACACATACAGTGACTTAAAACTTTTCACAACCGCAAGAATATATATTGTATCGTATCGTTTCATAAGTAATTTAATAATTTGAGTTATGAAGTCAATTGTGAGATATGAAGTCTCAGAGTAGTTATAATATATATATATATATATATATATATATATATAGAGAGAGAGAGAGAGAGAGAGAGAGAGAAATTTATTTTGAAGAAAGCTGAAATCTAATCAATGACCTGTTAATAAATTAAAGTCAGTGGTTGCAGGTTTTCCACCAAAGCTTCATCCACAAAAATACAGCAGAACTCGAACAGCGGCCAAAAAAACTTTCCGAACTTCAGCTATTTTTTTTTAATTTTGCCTCAAAAATCAAAACAAACCAATATTGGATCATATCATAGATAAATTTTATATTTTTAAATTATGAAGTCAGTTGTGAGTTATGAAGTCTCAAACTAGTTAATACATATCAGGACTGCATGTTTGTTTGGTAAAAGATGTTACAGTTTACTCTATTTTTATGCTATTTACTCCCCCTAAGTGGTTACAAACTTTGATTTTCTTTCTTCTATTAAACCAAAAAATATATTTTGAAGAAAACTGAAAACCTAACCACTGACTTCTATAGTAGGGAAAGCAAATACTATGGAAGTCAATGGTTACAGGTTTCAACACAAACTTTACCCTCGAAAATAGAAAATAAAATTCACATTTTTGAGTTATGAACTCAGTTGTGAGTTATAATTTCTCAGACTAGTTATTAGGTATTAGGAATGCATATTTGTCAGGTGAAAGTTAAAAACGTAACTATTTAATAACAACTGTTTAAGTCACATTTGTTCTTAACGTGGAGTGAGTAAAAATAGCCCTCTCAGGATGATGCAAAATCACCTTACCACTTTAAACAAATGCTGGGTTGTTATAACCCAGAATTAGGTCAAATATGGACAAACCCAACATTGGGTTCAGTTTTTTAATTTAATTTAAAGGTACAGTTCACACAAAAATTTAAATTTACACACTATTTTCTTCCCCCAAGTGGTTCCAAACTTTATGGCTTTCTTGTGTTGAACACGAAAAAAAATATTTAGTAGAAAGCTGAAAACCTAACCATTGAATTCTATTGTAGGAAAAACAAATACTATGGAAGTAAATGGTTACAGGTTTTCCACCCAAACTTCACACACGAAAAAACAACAAGAACATGCAAAGGGACCTAATAAAACTCCAGAACTTCGCCCCAAGAAACGAAACAAATAAATATTGGATCATACCGTATCGTAGATACATTTTTGAGTTATGAAGTCAAGTTAAAAATTTTAAGTATTTAATACAATTTTAACTATTAACAACAACTGTTTAAGTCACTTTTGTTCTTAACATGGAGAGAGTCAAAATAACCCTCTCAGGATAATGCAAAATCACCTTACCACTTTAAACAAATGCCGGGTTGTTGTAACCCAACATTGGATTCCTTTTTTCAATAAAAATTTAAAGGTGTAGTTCAAACATGGATAATGGGGGATAACTATTTACTCCCCCTAAGAGTTTCCAAACTTTACATTTCTTTCTTGTGTTGAACATTAAAATAAATATTTTGAAGAAAGCTGAAAACCAAACCATTGACTTCTATAGTAGGTAAAACAAATACCTTCAAGTCATTGGTTACAGGTTTTCCATTTAAACTTCACCCACGAAAATACAAACACAGTGACCTCATATTGTAGGTAAAATTCACATTTTTGAGTTATGAAGTCAGTGGTAAAATAAGAAGTCTCAGACTAGTTAATAAATATTAGGACTCAGTTGTACATATTAGGAGGTAAACGTTTAAATTTTAACTATTTTACAACTCTTTTAGCTGAAAACCTAATTATTGACTTCTATAGTAAGAAAAAACAAGTACTATGGAAGTCAATAGTTACAGGTTTTCCACCAAAGCTTCAACCTCGAAAATACATGCACAGTGACCTAATAAAACTTTCAGAACTTCAGCTATGTTTTTTTTTATTATTTTGCCGCAAGAAACTGAACAAAGAAATATCGTATCGGATCATCCTGATAGTGACGAGTTGGCTTTGCGGGCATCCGTGTTTTGTTAAGGTCAGTTCATCCTTTTCTAGAGGCGCCCAACATATTAGGCTTGTAGGAGATCAGGTCACCTGGGGCTTGCATAAATCCTGAACGGCTAGCGGAGCCCAATGTGATAATTAGGCCTTATTTCCCTTTTAATGCCCTTTCATCATGTGTGTGTGAGGTTGGAAATGTCATTACAGAACACCTCTGGACTTCCCCATGGAGATCATACATTAAATTTGCGTTTTAAATGTGACTTTCCTATCGCAAATCTTACATTTGTTTTTAAAACCTGGCATCCGCTGCTTACGGCGATGACGGAGAATCATGCATTTGTCTCTGACGGCCTACAGAATTGTGTTGCGCTGGATATTGATTTTGATGCCATTGTGTAAAGTGATGGTATTGTTACGGAAGCGCACACAGCAGAGGTGTTTTGTCATGGCAAAAAGGATAACTGTACTGACACCCACAAGCCCTCGCAGTGAACAGTCCCCACAGCGTGAGCAGGTAGCCCACGCACAGTTGCCTGGCCTGATATCTCTGGACATGCCTGCTAGTCTGCAGACCTCAGAGGAGATCAGTGTTAAACGTCAGCCTGTGGCTCGAACACACATACACACTATGGATTTCCTTCAAGCGCGCAAAGCAAGTGTTTGGCGCGCTTCGTTTCTGCACCAAATGTTAACTGAGGGAATTACATCTAATTGATATTTTGAATATGAATGAATCTTTAAAAATAACGTACAATAGGTATTGCTAGGAGTGTGAAGTGGCATCTGTAAAGTGAGGTCAAAAGTGTTTTTTTTTTTTTTTTTTTACTATTGTTAATTATTTTTGTATTTTATATGTAGCTAAAGTCTAAAATATTAGGCTTTATGTGAAATTAATTATATTTAAAATATTTCTCATGTGTTGTTTACCTGGGAGATTGTATTCAAAGCATTTTAAGCATAGTAGTTTTAATAAATAATTATTTATTTCTTTGCCAAAATGACAGAACATAATGTTTTACTAGTTATTTCGCAAGATACTTGCATTCAGCTTAAAGTTCAATTTAAAGGCTTAACTAGGTTAATAGGTTAACTAGGCAAGTTACTGGATAACAGCGGTTTGTTCTGTAGCATTGTGGAAAAAAAAGTGTACTGTTCAGATTGACTACCCTTTCATTATGTTAGTGGCTGTTTTTGCCTCATTGACTTCCATTAGGATCACATTCTTTGATTGCAAAGCCATGACACCAAATAAAAGTAAAATGTGTCATTTTACTGGCAGCATTAACCCTTTAGACAAGCTTGTGCAAACACATTTCTGGATTTTATATGAAATTCTATGGAATAAAACAGCAGATTATAGTGTGTGCATAAATACACTTACAATGTTCTAAAAGCTGAGACGCTTATTTTGATCTTCTCTTCAGACATATCAAGATAAGTGTGCTAAGGTCTCTCTTATAGTGATGGGTCGTTCATGAACCATTCGTTCATTTTGAACGAATCTTCAATATGACTCAGGAACTACGAGTCCTCTAAGGGAGTGATTCGTTCATCCACGTGTGCGCACATTTGTGCAGGTAGTATCGTTAATTTCAAGTCTTCATCACATTGGCAGAAGCCAATCATTTGCGTTTAGAGCCGGAGAAAGAATTGATCCGCTCACCTCTTAAGTCCTCTATCGGGTCTGAGTCACTACTCGTTCATCATGAGCCAATCATACGCGTTTAGAGCCGGAGATAGAATTGATCTGCTCGTCTCTCGAGTCCTCTATCGGGTCTGAGTCACTCGTTCCTCACGGGCCAATCATACACGTTTAGAGCCGGAAAAAGAATTGAACCGCTCATCTCTTGACTCCTCGGGTTTGAATCATTCTGTCACGTAAACAACGAACGATCATGGCTCCTATTGGCTTAGACTGTGCATTGATTAAGATTATATGTGACTGTCAGTGTAACGTGAATGAACCCCTGACATTTAAAGACATGAAGAGGTGAGCTGAGCAAAGATACAACATGCCTTCATAGACAAAAGAGCAGGTAAACATTGAATTATTATTTTCTCCTTCTTATCGTATTCTAGTTATGACATATTTGTCGTGCAGTCAACCTTTTGGGTTAGTTGTAGATGTGTTTGGAAGCAATTTATAACATTTTAATAATATTTTGGCAAATTGAACCAAATGAAAGAAATGACTCGAAAAAAGATTCGTTCATCTTGATGAACGAGACTCAAAGATCCGAGTCAGTAAAATGATCCGAACTTCCCATCACTACTCTCTTACACTCTCTCACAAACACACACAGACACACATTATATTCCATTTAAAGCATATAAAGCCAGAAACTGCTTTTTTGCTTTTTTTTTTATTTATTTATTTTTTAATTTAATTTTATTTTATTTTTTTGAACTGATGATCAACAGTAGAAATTACTAATTTTATCTCTTCCACTACCACTAATCAAGAATGAATGATTATGCTGTATGGTTGTATGGCTTTACAATAATAAAAAACATAAAACAACATATTATAAGAGTTAAAAATGGAAAATTATCAGATGGTAACTTTGTCTAACAGCTCTCGTTAATATTTCAGCATGCTTTCACTTTCGTATTAGACATGAAATGCACATTTGCCGGTAGGAATGACCTCTCGCCCTGCTCATCATTCTCTCTTCGTAAAGCCATATATACATGCATTAGTTTGTTGGACCATTTTGTTTTCTCACTACAATCTGTCAGCTCAATCGAGCAGAGACCATCTAATTCAGGCGATCTTGGACCAATTGATTTGGCACAGATCAAAGCGCGATTGCTGGACTCACATATGCCAAACAAACTGCGCTAACCATGGGAAAATTAGACAGATTTCGAAACAAACGTTTATAAAAAGCAGTGAAAAGCATGTGTGAAAGCAACCTAAGATTGTATTTGCATGCAGTTGACAAACAGTCGCAGCCAAACTTTTGTGACAAGGCAGCCAGTAACCATTCTGTACACTGGATCAAACGTCTCGCACGCTGGCCCTGGGCCATCGTGCAGTCCTTATTGTCGAGCCCTGTCCCTGTAAATATATGCTTTAAGGTATTCAACAATTTAAGTTGAAATGTCATATTGGGTATTTTTAAAATAGCACAACGCATTTAAATGTGAAAAAGTACACACAGTATATATACATGTAATCTACTGTGGTTGTTCGGTGCTGGAAAAGCATAAAAGTGCACCTTGAAAGTGCTTGGAAAGTGCTGGAATTTGCTGGACCCCTTAAATCTGACCAAACGTTGGTTTACAACATTCTATACAAAATCCTGTTTACCATCATTCTAAATCTCAACACCCATCATTTATTTGTTCTCCAGGAGCAGTGGGCCGTAAACTGAAAGAAACTACAGTGGAAAACCCTCAGCGTCTTCCTGCCACTCCGGTCCCGACCACCCTCCAGGGGTCTCCACCTCCACCCTCCCCTCAGCTGCTGATGAGGACGGGCACCGCTACCTCCGAATCCGCTGCCAGTGCCAACGGTACCCACCCTTTCTCCCCCACAGGCATCGGGCCGGACTTCTTCACCCCCGGCATGGCCAGCGTGGGCGCCACGTTCCCCCCGCTGGCTGGCAAAATGGCACTCAACTCTCTTCTTCAGAGGCAGCTCATGCAAACCATCTACACCAAAGCCCTCCAGGACCCCTCTCCCAGTTCGGTGCTGTTCGGGCCACCCCATTACGCTACCACCAACTCCCTCTCCAGCCCCCTGCCGCCCCAGTCGGCAGGCAGCCCGGAGGTTAACGGCATGGCGCCTTCGCCCAGCCAATCAGAGGGCGCGGGCAGCACGTCGGAAGGTGAGGAAATGGATACAGCGGAGATTGCCCGACAGGTCAAGGAGCAGCTGATCAAACACAACATCGGCCAGCGCGTGTTCGGCCATTACGTGCTGGGTCTCTCCCAAGGCTCCGTTAGCGAAATTCTGGCTCGGCCCAAACCTTGGAGCAAGCTAACCATCCGTGGCAAAGAGCCGTTTCACAAGATGAAGCACTTCCTGTCCGATGAGCAGAACATCCTGGCGCTGAGGAGCATCCAGGGCAGGCAGAGAGGTCAGTGACAGAGCTCCAGGATGAGAATTAACTGTGTTATTGTGCAAGATTGTCTCCCAAAGCACGTCTATTTACAACGGTTGTGCATGCCGTTAAGTAGCGCTCAGTAACAGCATGGCCATTTTTCTAACGTGTAAGCAAACTAACTAATGTCGGTGTAATCTCACGTTTCGAGCACACATTGCTTTTAAAGAGTCCTTGCAGGTACGTAATAATTTAATATATGCTGTAAAAGGAGAGGCTGGAAGCCAGCGGTCCCCATATGGAAGCTTGTTTTTGGCTTAGAAAACAGTTTAGTGACTGAGATAAAGTTTAAAATAAGAACTAAAGTAAGTTGAGCTGGCAAATGAGAAATATAAAGTCAAGAAAGTTTGTGAGAATCAGTTATGCAATACAGGGCTTTTTTTTTTTTTTTTTGGAGGTTTGAAGTCATCAGATTTTTGTGAGGTGTAAAGATAATTATGAGATACAAATTTGTTATTGTTCAAAGGGCACCTATTTGACCTCTTTCAAGATTTAAGAGAGTCTTTTGTGTCTCCAGAATGTGTCTGTAAAGTTTCAGCTCGAACCCCCATCAGATTATTTATTAAACCTTTCAGAATATTAGAATTTTCTGCTCTGAACACATTGTAGCTGTTTTTGTTGCCTGTGCCTTTAATGCTGGTTCTCCCCGCCCACCGTTCACATGTGCCTGTTAATCTGAGTGTGCCTCAATCTTTACCTCGGCTGCGTCAGATAACAGACAGACATGAAGGAAGCAGATCTCACGTAAAGTTTGTAAGGAATACTACAGTAAGAACTTTCCCAATGATTATTTGATGTATTTATTGTGTAATTAATTCAAGCCTTTCGATGAGTCACACACAATGTCTCACACACTGTGTGCGCGTTTAATTTCAGTGTTTTTGCACAGCAGGTGTAACAGGACACACATTAATATCCACAGATATCCGTTATGTTAATGTACAAAATAAACCTGATTTAACGTCCACAAACCGAGATTGAAGCGTCATAATTTTTAATTGTTCTGACATGCGGTTGTGGTAATAAAGACGGCAAAATCACTGTACTTCATTACAAACATGCACAGTTTTAAAAACGTTTTAAACTTGTAAAACCCATTTTTGATCACATTTGATGATGATTGATGATCACAGAGAGTTTAACAGATTTTTTAATGCCAGTTAATTTGCACACGTCCTATCTTGTCGATATGATTTTACATGTTACTACAGAGACATGTTAATATGCAGCTGTCAATCAATTTGGTGGGCGGGGAAACCACACTCCTACGTCACATTGCGGTCGGCCCTTAAAATGGAAGGGATTTGGATCCTATTTTAACATCAGGAAATTTAAAAAAAAGATACTCATTGTCTTTATATCACTCCAATATGACTGTGGACATTATACCTACACACAGTTCTGTCTAAGCAGCTTATAAAAGAGCATTTTCATCATAGGTGCCCTTTTAAGTTGAAAAAAAAAAAAAATATATATATATATATATATATATATATATATATAAAGTCGTGAGGCATTTGTTTTGTGTTACAAAGTTACGTTTGTTGAGGTATTAAGTCTCAATGAAAAGGTATGAAGTTATTTTTGTGTGGTATAAATAGTAATGGTTTAGACATTTATATTACAGAGGTGGAAAGGTATATTTTGGGGTAAAAATCAAATTTGAAGCATGGTTTGAGGAGTAATTGAGAAATTGTATTTGAGAAGTAATTGAGAAGTTGTATTTGAGGTATAACATAAGCATGCATGTGTGATGCATTAAGGAGTTAGTTCACTCAAAAATTTCAATTACTGACCCTTGTGTAATTCCAATCCCTTGAGACCGTGTTTCATCTTCATACTCAAAATAAGGGTGTTTTCACACCTGCCTTATTTAGTTTGGTTGAATCACACTAGAGTCTGTTTTCCCTCTTCGTGCGATTCGTTTGTGGTGAGAACGTGATCCCAACTAGAACAGACCCAACTGCAAAGAAGTACTGCGCCTTTTTGGACTAATCCAGCTACCTTAGTCGGATGTGGTGTCCCATCTTATGTGGTGTGGAGGGAAAATATTTGTTGACAGCGCTTTACCAACCATTTTAAACAGAAAGAAAGAGAGAGAGAGGAGAGAGTGAGAGAGAGAGGAGGGGTGGGGGGGACATTACCTGATGAATGGTTGGAAATATTTTCGGAAGCTGACCATGTTGCAGTTTATCTAAATGAATTCACGCCTCCTCCTGAAGTGACTTGCTATGCGCCTTCACCGTGCGCAATGCATTAAAACATTGTTTTCCAGCCGCAGATGCGCTTCATTCTCAAAATGTATAGTTTGTCTAAAGTGAAGCAAACTATATAGTATACTATGAGCAGGGATATAATCAGTCAGCGCAGTCGTCCTTCCATAGTAAACAGTGACATTTTGTATCTGCCGGTTTGTTTACTTTAAGAAGTTTCATTGGCATTTTCCCACACGTTAATTCTGACCAATCTATAAGCAGTTTAGGAAATACGTTCAACAGCATATGGCCAATAAGTGATGTGGATTTTGTCACATGACTGCATTTTGGTTCTAGTGTGGTGTGAAAAGGACCCAAAGACAGTAGAGAAATGCTGCAATGTATCATTTGTTACGCTTGGTCCGGACTAAATGAACCGAAGCACAGACGTGAAAGCACCCTAAGATATTCTAGATAAAAGTCAAGAGCTCTCTCATCCTCCATAGACAGCAATGGTCCAGAGATGTTCAAAGTCAAGAAAAGGAATCAAATACATGGCTTCAGGGGTTTGACTTTAATCATACGAAGCTCCAAGAACACTTTTGTACACCAGAAAAAACTTTCGCATCAATGTTGTGTGTTGCTCTGCTGACTGACTCCAATGGCAATATGCCATACTGCCCATAATAAACACACCTTAACAACCTCATGTGGAATAGAAGATATTGGCAAAGTCATATGAAATGTTTTGCCAATATTTTTGGTTCATTTTCTGGACTTCTCACACCGGTTGCAATCTATGGAGGATGAAGGAGCTCTCGGATTTTATCTAAAATAGTTTAATTTGTTTTCTGAAGATAAACAACAGTCTCAGAGGATTGGAATTTCACAAGGCTGAGTAATTAATGACAGAATTGTCATTTGTGTGTGAACTAACCCTTTAATTAGTCAATGCTAGGATGCCATTTTTACTCCAGGCTGCAATTATGAAACTAGGTTTTCAGCAGTGAGAAATAAAAAAGCAACATTAGCAATGTTTAAAGTTGCATTTGTGAAGTATAGCATTTCATTTACAAAAAAAAAAAAAAAGTTGTACTTGTGAGATGTTCCAAATTTCCTTATTAGCTGTAGGCAAAAACAGGCTTCCACGCTTCCCTCCCGATAAGCTTATAGCTAACCCTAACCCTTTCATCCACAACAAAATGCTGCACACAACCTATCAAAATAGTGCGTTTTGAGATAATGACATGAACCCCACGGAGACGAGATACTAGATTCAGTCGGAAGCGCTATTAGTGCTCGGTTGGCGCAGGCGGCGTGTTGATTAGAGCTAAACTTCGGCAGTCTACTCCTTCTTTCATTTTGGTCTCAGCCTACGGGTGAAGAGGAAGTTCAGAGAGGTTTTGCGAGCGTTATGTTTTGCCTCAAGTCTGCGCTTCACAGCTAGAGCGAACAAATCAAGGCCGAGCCCAGCGTGAGCGAGAGTACTTGCATATGAGGGCAGTTGGCTGCGAATCCTTGAAGCCGTGTTGAGCCGAGTCTGCGTTTGTTCAGTCTAGCTGTGAGGCAGTAGCTCTGAAACGGAGCTGAAAAAAAAAGGCTGACTGTGCGGCCCGTGCGTCTGCACACCGGTTTGGATCGTCTTCAAGGGAGTCTGGTCTGGCTGTCTGCCTCCATAGCGTCGGCTTGTGGTCTCCCATGGGAGTATGAACTTTTGTAAAAACCTTAAAACCCATTCATTCACTTCAAAGAGCGGGGCTAAAGGAGCACATTAACGTTGAAATAATCACTCGAGCGAGTTTTGCAAGGGCGCAGGTGGCTTTCCTTGAGGTCAGACTAGGTCGATTTGTGTTTAAGCTTAACAAACTACCACTCAAAGGATATTTACATGCATCCGTCCATGTTGAGGTATTACTTTGGATTAGTATTTGCTAAGTGCTTTCAGAATTGACTGTGCAGACATTCTGAAATAAGATCAGGGCTCAACAATAAGGCATTTTTTTACGTTGTATTTTAAATGCTAAAGAAAAAAAATTATTTGCATGTTTTAATATATTTTAAACCTATTTAGTTTTTTGGTTTGTATTTTGTAATTATTTTTATGTAAAGCATTATTTATTTATATATTTATATATTATATATTATATATATTTAAATATATATTTATATATTTTATTTTATATATATTATTTATTTTTATTTATTTTACTTAAGAGAGTGTACATTTTCCATTGCTAATCTTTTTTTACAAACTAAAATAACCGAACACAACACAAAACAAAAGTTTCATAAAATAAAAAATATGAAAATAACAGCAACAATAAAATAGTAACATAAATACTATCATTAACTAAATATACTTGGGTCGAATCTTTATTTATTCGCTCAACTTTAGGTACTTATCAGCTGTAAATTCATAATTTTCAGAATAATTAGCCTCACTTTGATTTTTTTTTTTTTTTTTTTTAATATTTCCCAAATGATTTTAAGCAGAGCAAGGAAATTTTCACAGTATATCTAATAATATTATTTCTTCAGGAGAAAGTCTTATTTGTTTTATTTCGACTAGAATAAAAGCAGTTTTTAATTAAAAAAAAAAACATTTTAAGCTCAAAATTATTAGCCCCTTTAAGCTGTATATTTTTTTCCCGATAGTCTACAGAACAAACCATCATTATACAATAACTTGCCTAATTACCCTAACCTGCCTTGTTAACCTAATTAACCTAGTTAAGCCATTAAATGTCACTTTAAGCTGTATAGAAGTGTCTTGAAAACTATCTAGTACAATATTATTTACTGTCATCAAGGCAAAGATAAAATAAATCAGTTATAAGAAATGAGTTATTAAAACTATTATGTTTAGAAATGTGTTGAAAAAATCTTCTCTCCATTAAATAGAAATTGGGGGAAAAAATAAACATTTTTAAAGTGGTAAGTTAAAACTATTTTGTTGTTTTTGTATCTTTTTTTGTCATTATAATATATGCATAATTTAGATTATAACTCTAAATTTGTAGTTGTTTGTAAACTATTACTGAATGCAAATGAGTTTGGCTCAAGGTAAAATATTCTGAAGTTGTCTCAGGTTTAACTTTTTAATTTGATTTATAATACTTTTTTGTTTGTTTTTAAAGCAGAATCAAATTCTCATAAAATGTAACATGTGGAAACATATTTGACTTAATGTTTCTGAAGTATTATATGCCAAAAGTTTCCCTTAAAGTTAATATAAATTTTTTTAAGTGGTAAATGAAAAATATTTTGTCAAATTTGTATATTGTGATTATAATATAAGTTTATTTTGGATTATATTTATAATTGTTTTGTTGTTTTTAACTGAAGGCCATTAAGTTTGGCTCATCGTAAATTGATATGAACTTGTCTCAGGCTTTACTTTTTAATTTGATTTATGATTCTTTTTTTAAGCAGAAGCAAATGCATGTGTAAAATGTAATATTTGGAAAAATATGTATAGCTAAATGTTTCTGAAGTATTATATGCCAATGGGGGAAAAAATCATTTAGTTTTCCTTCTTAAAGCTAATATAAATATTTTTTAAGTGGTAAATTAAAAATATTTGGTCGTTTTTGTATGTTTTTTTTGTGTGATTATAATACAAGCATATTTTATACTATAGTTATCATTTTATAGTTGTTTGTAGACTGCTAATGAATGCAAACGAGTTTGGCTCAATGTAAATGATTATAAAATTGTCTCACACTATACTTACTTGTTTATTTTATTTTATTTAGAATTCTTCCTTTTTTAAGCAGAAACAAATTTAAATATAAAGTGGAATAAATGGAAACATATTTAGCTAAATGTTTTATGTTAAGTATAAGTATTATAGCCACAGGGAAAAATCATATAGTTTACCTTCTTAAAGTTAATATCAATATTTTTTAAGTGGTAAATTTAAATAATTTTGTCAAATTTATATATTTTTTGTGATTATAATAGAAGTATAATTTAGATTTTATGTATATATATATTGTAGTTGTTTGTTGATTATTACTGAATGCAAGTGAGTTTGGCTCAAGGTAAATTTTTATGAAGTTGTCTCATACTTTTTATTTTTTAATTTGATTTAAAGCTTTTTAAAGCAGAAACAAATGTATATATAATATGAAAATATATTTAGCTAAATGTTTCTGAAGTATTATAGGAAAAAAGAGAAAATTATATTAGATTTTTAATTTAAATCATCAAACTACAATGCAACTGTGAAAGTTATGAATTCATGCACAATTTTGTTGACTGCATAAGCTGCAAAAGTTTTCCGATGATACTGACACTTAACTGATGTATACAAATACGCTTAATTACCTATTATAAGCTCAATACCATTCCCCATGTCATTATTATTATCAGCCCACTACAAAAGCGTATATTTTTTGATTGGTTACACAACAAACCACTGTTGTCCAGTGACTTTCCCAATGAACCCTAATTTGCTTAATTACCTTAATTAGCCTATTTAAGACATTAAATTACACTTTAAATTGAATATAAATACACAAGTACATGCATATATTTATATGAAGTATATATAAAGGTTTGTTTAAGACTGCATAAGCTGCAAAAGTTTTTTGATTATACTGACACTTTACTGATGTAGACAAATATGCCTAATTAACATAATTATCTTACTTAAGCCTTTAAATTGCACTTTAAATTGAATATCTTGTTAAATCAACAAGTATTCATAGCAAAGATGAAGGAAATTAGTTATTAGAAATAGGCCATAACTAATATAACTATAATGTTTAGTAATTAGTACTATAATCACAAATAATCGCATTTAAAATCTTTTTTTTTTAAATATATAAGCGTGTACTGTGTATTTTTATTATTTATATATAAATACAAACATGCATGCATATACTTATATATTTAAAGTTTTGTTTAAGACTGCAAAAGCTGCAAAAATTGTCCGATGATACTGACACTTTACTGATGTAGGCAAATACGCCTAATTAACATAATTAAATTATTTAAGCCTTTGAATTGCACTTTAAACTGAATATTTTGTATAATAACTAGTAGAAAAATTAAGTCTTCATGGCAAAGAAAATTTGTAAATTAGTTATTAGAAATGAGCAATAAATAACAACTATAACGTTTACTAATTAGTGCTACAGTATAATCACGAATTCAAAATGAACGTTTTTGACAATATATGTGTGTGGTGTACTTTGTATATTTATTATCCATATATAAATACACAAGTGCATGCATATATTTATATGAAGTATATTTATATATTAAGGTTTGTTTAAGACTGCATAAGCTGCAAAAGCTTTCCGATGATACTGACACTTTACTGATGTAGACAAATATGCTTAATTAGCTAAATTAGCTAATTACCGTTTTCATAGTGACGCATATAAATCAGCACAAAATATCAAGCAATTCCACGTCAGCAAATGTAAGATGCAGTGATGCTGATCGAACACAGGCCTTAAAAAAAACAAATCTCTCATTCTTACTGTTGAGCCCTGGAAGTTGATTGGACAAATTGCCAGCATTGCCGATTAGGGCTTGGTCTTACTTTTGATTTCTATCTTCCGCCACTTGTTTTCCAACAGAGAACCCAGGCCAGAACCTGAACAGAGTGTTTCAGGATGTTCCGAAGCGAAGAGGCGGCTCTGAAGGCTCCACGCGGCCAGGTCTGTCTCTCACGCCTTCCCCATCTCGTGTTATGGCTTTCTGGAGTGTCAGATCCGCTGTGTCTGTGTGTTTTTGTTGTGCTGGTCTGTTTCTTCTCAATTCTCTGGCCTGGAATCTGTTGCAAAACAAGTGAGCGAGACCGACAGACAGACAGGACTTTAAAAAAATAAGCTGCAATCCAATCAGGAGGCGGCTTTTTACAATAAATGCTACACCTTTGACTTTACAGATTAGTCTCAAACTCTTAACTACTCAATCACGGAGGTCTTTCGAGAAGCCTGTCCTGTTATTTGGTGGTCAGCTTGTGTGTATAAATGTGCATGTGTGTGTGTGTGGCAGAATTCTTCAGGCAGATCCACAGTGCCACCACATTACAACTGGTGGTTGAGTCTCCCCCAGGGCGGCGCTGTGGGTGGCTGTGTGTATGTATGTGTGTGTGTGTGTGAGAGAGAGAGAGAGAGGGCGAGAGAGCATTACTTCCACCTCACACACACACGTCCAGCTGCTCTCCTCACACACCAGTGATTCTGACCTTGCCCTGCTGCCCACTGCTCATCGGGCGCTTTCTCCTCTGCCACTTTTTCCCTTTTCTCTGCATATTTATTATTATTGCGCCGACCCGTCTGATGATACTTCCACACTGAGCTCTGTTGTTTCTCATGGACTTTGGCCAAATTCGCGCCGGCTCTTTGTTGTGTGGACTGGTGGAGGACAGGAAACTGTTTGAGTCATTGCGCAGGAAGTGCTGCTGTAGCCGCCGGCAGTGCAGGTGCTGATACACACAGTCTTATTATTATTATAGACAAGTCAATGATTGCGAATGGGTTTTTGGATCTTGAGTTTGGTTGCATAAAATGAAAAGGTGCCTATTTTTGAGAGCAGTATAAGCCTGCGTTTGTGTTTCACTGCTTGCTTTGTCTTTCTGAAATAGTAATGATAAAACGTCACACTTTACAATAAGGTTTCATTAGTTGTTGTATTTACTAACATGAACTAAGTATGAACAATACTTGTAGAGCATTTATTATTCATACTTCAACATCAACACTTACTAATGCATTAATAACATACCTGTCAACATTGGGATGTGAAAATAGGGAATTTGCCCCCCTCCTCCTTTAAAAAAATCCCCAAATTACTAAATATGTTCATTTGAAGCGGTTCCATTGTAAATAAACAGTTGAATGGTCAGTAATATGTTTTATTGTTATTATTTACAAAAGAAAAAATACATTTATACATTAGCAGCAAATACATTAGCAAACAGTTCAGCTTATTAAAATTAATAGCTGTTATAATGAAATAAAATCAAGCCATCAAATCTCAATAGCCGTTTCTTCACTGTATAACTATATATACAGTGTATATATAACTCATTCTGATTAAAGAGCAACCGATGAATCTCTTATTTATTTAGATTTTTTCGTTTGATCACATTAAATAACAGGCGTCACTTTAAACATGCACATATCTAACAATATAATGAAGGCATTCGACTGCTTTCCTCATTTTTATGCTCATTTAAGACGGAATTAATTGTGTTTGAAAAAAAAAAAACACGAAGATCGACATCTTTAGATATTATTATTATTATTTATTATGTGTGTATGTTACAGAGTTTCGCTCCGCTTTAAATTGCATGTACAAAATCCGTTTGGGAAACAGAGTCTGTTTATCACTATGAAGCGCGTCAGCTGATTGTCATGCACCATTATATGACTGTTTTGAGGATTGCATAAGAGGGGTGATGGCACCTGTAATGAAAAAGAAGGGAATTGCGCCATTTTTATGTTTATTTGAAAGTGTTTTCGTGCCTAAACAAAGCGAAAGCACAGAACAGACTCACATTTAAGAGCAAGGGGCGGCTCCTGGTGGTTCGGCAGTATTGGTTTAGTATAGGGAGGCTCGGCTCTTTAATGTTTCTTGCCACCCTTCAGAGAAACACTGAAAATACGGGATGATAGCGGGATAGAACTGTAAAATACAGGAGAATCCCAGGAAAAACAGGAGGGTTGACAGGTATGATTGTTAACATCCAAATTCATGTCTGTTAACATTAGTTAATGCACTGTGAGTTAACATGAGCTAACAATGACTGTATTTCCATTAACCAGTGTTAACAAACATGAATAAATACTGTAATAAATGTACTGCTCATTGTTTGTTAATGTTATTAATTGCATTAACTATCATTAACTAATACAACCTTATTATAAAGTGTTACCAAAAGCTATGTTTTTTGGGGTGTTCACATTTAACAGCTTGGGTTAAAATGGTTTAGTTATGAAATATAAGTCTTGAACTTAAACAAAAGACTTTAAAATGAACCAAAAACAGCCACTAAAATAAATTTAAAAACTTTTAAAACAAATTTCCCCAACATTGATCTCTTTCGCACACAAATTTTGTAGCAAAAATCTGTGAAATTTTTATTATTTTCTAATAAACAATAATTAATATTGTACCTTATTGTAAAGTGTTAATAAAACAAATCCGTTTTAGAGGGCAGGTTTGGATGAAACGGTTTAGTTATGAAATATGAATCCAACTTAGACAAAAGACTTTAAAACGAACCAAAAACAGCCTCTAAAAGAACTGAATGCTCAAGTGTTGCCCTTTGTAGCTTAATACTGATCTTCGTGTGTGTTTGTGTGTGACGAAATCATGTCTGGTGTTGGTTTGACTCCTTACACTTCAATAAGCTCTTCACGTGATAATGCAATACTTGTCAAAGAAATTTCCCCAACACTGTTAACTTGCACATACATTTTATAGCAAAAATCTGTCAAATTTGAGTTATTTTATAATAAACAATAACTAATACAACCTTATTGTCAAGTGGTATCAGAACAAATATGTTTTTGGGGGTGTTCACGCCTGGAAGGTTGGGGAAAAAAATGGTTTAGTTAAGAAATATATGTCTTGATCTTAAACAAAACTTTCAAACGAACCAAAAACAGCCATTAAAAGAACTGAATGCTCAAGCAAACAATGCAGTGTTGCCTGTTGTAGTATAATACTGCTCTTGGTGTGTGTTTGTGTGTGACAAAAAATCCTGGTGTTGGTTTGACTCTTTTAGAATTTTAATATAATCCACTACTTTTAAAATAAATTTCCCCAACATTGATCACTTGCGGACGCACATTTCATAGCGAAAAATCTAATTATTTTATAATAGACAACAACTTATGAACCAAAAACAGCCACTAAAAGAAATGAATGCTCAATGCTACAATGCAGTGTTGCCCATTAAAGTTCAATACTGATATTTGTGTGTGTGTGTGAGATAAAAAAAATCCTGTTGTCCTTGTGTTGGACTCCTTTACACTTTTGCATATCTCTTCACGTGATAATGCACTGCTTTTAAAAGAAACTTTCCCTAACTCTGATCACTTGCGCACACACATTTGAAGCCAAAATCTGTGAAATTTGAATTCTTTTAAAATATTTCCCAGTTGAGCAAATGAGACATTTCCACAGTTTTTCCTATAATTTCTATAATATTTTTTTTCTTCTTGAGAAAGTCTCATTTCTTTTAGTTTGGCTGGAATAAAAGTAGCTTTTAATTTATTTTTATTTTTTTAATTCATTATTATTTTTAAGTCTTTATTATTATTAGCCCACTTAAGAAATTCAAGTTTTTGAATAATTACACTAGTTACGCAGTTACACAACACACTGTTTTTAGCGGCTTTCACAATGAGCCTAATTTGCCTAATTAACATAATTAACCCAGTTAAGCCATTATTGGTCCTACTAGTATAAATACTACCTATCTTGCTAAATATCTAGTAAACTTATTATGTCTTTATGGCAAAGACGAAAGAAATTAGTTATTAATAATAAGCTATAATTAGGCCCACACGGAATCTGCGCGTGCAGAAATATGCAGACTTTTAGCCCATCATTGAGTCCATACATTTACTTTTGTAAATTAATATTTATTCAATTAAATTAATTTCACTAATATTATTATTATATAATAACAGTAATATTAAAATGTTTATATGATTCATTTACAATACAGTTTGTAAAGTAATATTTTATGTATTTTAATAGATATATCATAAATGAGAGGCTTGCTTTGTTTACCAAATAAGTAAATCTGATTGGATTTGCATTGCAAACCTTAAATAAAAGTTAAAAATGTAAAATGTTTTGTTTCATATATAAAGTTTTCAGCTATGATACTCCTAAAATCAGACCGCATAAATACAAATTTACAAAATTCTCAGCAGAAATAGCAAAAACTCTGCAGATTCTGTCTGACCATATTTATAACTGATAACTATTATGTTTAATAATTAGTGCTGGGCAAAGTGTAATCATGAATAATTGCATTCAAAATAAAAGTTAGTTTTAATATTATATGTGTGCGTACTGTCTATATTTATTATTTGTATATAAATACATGCATGCCTATAAGTATAAACTGTATAAGTTTTGTTTTATGTTTTCATCTAAATATGATATAATAAATATACACTATAAAAAATTATTGCTGCCTTAAACTTCAGTTGAATCAAATTAATTTTCCTTGTTATCTCATCTGATATAAATCAACCTGATTAAAAAAAAAATAATAATAACTTTGTATAACTTAACATATTTTGATGAACCTGATAAAACAAGTTAAAGTAACATAAAATGTTTGTTGTCTTTACTTTCTGTCATGATATTGTTTACAGTGTATACTGTACACACATATATCTTATGTCAAAACAAACTTTTATTTTAGATGCAATTATTATAATTCTACTCTATTCTATTCTAAAAACTTTATATTTTTAAAAGATTGTATTGAGCATGCTTATCCATGCAGCATTGTTTTAAATGCTTGGTAACATTCATTGCAAAATATACATCATCACAGTCATTTTTTTGTTTCACATCAACAATTGTGAGCACACCCTAAAGATCATATGCTTCATTTCAGAACAAAACAGTTCTGTATTTAGTTACGCTCGACGTCACTCACAGCTTTCTCATATGTTCGCAGGTAACATCACCACACGGATCCGCACGCCTGAAACCGGCTCCGATGAAGCCATCAAGTCCATCTTAGAGCAGGCCAAGAGAGAGTTACAAGTGCAGAAAGCAGGTGAGTCCGTTTCTGCTCAACAGGGAGACCAGGTCCGAGGTATTCGCATGCGTTTTCCCACTTCCTCACAATCAGTTACATCACTTGCTGTAGGATAGGACTCACGCTTGCCATCTAAACACTATCATTTTTTTCTGTTTTAAATGAGATGATATGTTGTGTGTTGAAGAGTTGATTTGGCATTGTCATACTAGCTCAGTACACTGTTCAAAAAGTTTGGGGTCAGAATAATAATTTGTTAAATAAAGGATGCATTAACTTGATCAAAGTGACATTTATAGATGTTCCTTTAAACCAGGGCTGCCCAAACTTCATTATGAAGGGCCGAAAACCAAACTTGATTGAGGCTAGTGGCCTGGATGTAAATATAATTGCCATGGGTAATTTCCAAATTTATTTACTGAAATTTAAGGATAACTAGAATACATTGCTATATATTAACTAATACTGTATGTATAGTTTTATATATATACAATCTAATTTATAACAGGATGTTACACTAGTTCTTGCCTTGATTTGCTCACAAATGTCTACTGCATAGTCCTCTGTCCGTCGAAGGACAGTATTTACATTTAAAAAAAAAAATCAGATTCATTCACAACATTTGGGTGACATGGTGGCTCTGTGGTTAGCACTGTCACCTCCAGTCCACAGTCCCGGCTGGGTCAGTCATTTCTGTGGAGTTTGCTCGTGCTCTGGTTTTCCCCACAGTCCAAAGACATGCGCTGTAGCTGAATTGAATAAACTAAATTGGCCATAGTGTACAGTATGTGCGTGAATGAGTGTGTATGGGTGTTTCCCAGTACTGGGTTGCAGCTGGAAGGGCCTCCGCTGTGTAAAACATAAGTTGACGGTTCATTCCGCTGTTGTGACCTCTGAATAAAGGGACTAAACATTGTATGTATATTTGTATGCAGCATTGTAACATTGTATGCACATTTTCACTTAAAAATAAGGTTTTTAACATTGATAATAATAATAAAATATTTATTAAACATTAGTTTAGCTCATTAAAACACTTTCTGAAGGATCACGTGATCAGAAATGGCCACTTCAGTAATAAATAACATTCTAAATGCATTTGCTGCTTATTTATAGCTATGAAGGTAGTAGTTTGGTTTAGGTGTTTGGTTAGGGTTAGGGATGTGGAATAAGATCATTTTTTTTAAAAATACTAAAGGGTTCATAACTTAATAATAAGTAGGTAAGTAAAAGCAATAGTTAATAGTGTGAATTACTACTTAACTAAAGTGTAGCCAATGCATTTGGAACAATTATATACTAGTTTTTGTATACAAATATATAAATATTTATGCATTATACGTACAGTATACTTAAATGTGCATTTATTGATTTTTGACCTACATGTGGATTAATGGGTTGTATCTGAAAATAAAACACACCAACCCTTTCCATCATTCTTACTCTCTTCTAAGATGGGATGGTGGCCAAATCAAAGGTTATAATGGGCCAGCTTTGGCCCATGGACCCTACTTTAGGCATCTCTTCTTTGAAAATTGTAAAGATTGTATTTATTTTTTAAAAAGTCATAAAAAATGCAAATTTTCACTTAAAAATAAGGTTTTCAACATTGATAATCGTAATAACTTATTTATTAAACACTAATTTATCTTATTATAACACTCTGTGAAGAATCATGTGATCAGAAATTGCCATTTCAAATTTGTAATACTATTACTATTTATACTGTACATTTGATCAAGTAAATTCAGCCTTGGTGAGCATGAGATTAAAAAAAAAAGTCTTACCAGCTTCAGCATTTTGAACAGTAAACTGTAAAAAAATAAAATAAATAAATCCGTTAATTAACATATGCCCTTTGCTTATGTTTCAAATGTGTTTTATTTACTCTTTTGAATTGCATGATGGGATTATGATCTTCGTTCTGAAAACTTTTGATTCTGAAAATTGAACTCGACATTTTACAGAATGACTTTTATTGACATTTATGTTAATCAGAAAATAAATTTTGTACAAGCAATAATAAATCAAGAAATAACTCAATACACACAATAGCAGGTGTGTTAGCGGAATTTACATCACCAACCAATACAGTATATCATCTCAAACTACTAACAATGCCAATAAAGGTCACTTTGCTAAACTTTTCAACATCAAAAGTTGTCAGAAAAGAGATCAAGGTCTTAAAATACGATTTGAAAGGAAGCTTAATTAACGGATATTTCTTACAGTGTCATGTATGTAAGCTAAAAATGTAATTGCAGTGCAGATTTTGCACAAGTACTGTCTAAAACTACAAGTGAGTAACATACAGAGTCATAACCCCCCTGTTTTGATTGTTTAAAGTTCCCTCCTTTACCTTTTCCTGTCCAAGCTTGTGTTCTGGAATTAAACTAACTGTCTCTTCCCCACCTGCCACTGCAGACGGCGTGGGGGAGAGGCATCGGCGATCAGGTTACCACAGAGGGTCGGGCAGCTATTTCCAAATATATGCACACAGTCTAAGACTTGGTGAGGTTTTGTGCTGTCTGTTGAAAGTTTCTTCCCCCCCACCCCACCCCAACCCAGATTTGAAGAGCGCTACTGCTTCCAATGAACTTCTCACTGTCATAAATCAGTCTGAGTCATGGGGATTTATGACCGATGTATGTTTTATATATATACATCAATGAAAAACCCTGTGTATGTACATGCGCCGGGAAATCTTTTATGATTTAAGTCGGTCGAAAGCAGACGTTTTTGTTTAGCTGCTGTTCGCGAAGAGGATCTTCTCTATGTTATGTCACGTTAAATGTTACGTTTATTTTTTTTAATATCGCTGAGTAGGGCAGCTATCTCTTCCTAGCATCCTTTAAAGCAATATTTCAACCCAAATTTGATCATTTATTGATCCTCGATTGATTCTAGATCTGTATGATGTTTATTCTTCTGTGGAACAGAAAAGAAGATCATTTGAAAAATGTTCATGCTGCTCTTTTCCATACTGTAAAAGTGCTGTCATGCCCAAAAGTGATGATATTTTTTTTTTTTTTTTTTTGCAAGTTTAGATAGACCATCAAAATATGAGGAACCGGTTATATTGGCTAAGGGGAAATTCTAAAGTTGGTTAATTTGTTTAACCTATGAAATTGTTTAGCAAAATGTACCGCTTATCGCTAAATATTTGTATAGACGATTGTGGTCATGTCATCGGCCCATGAACATTTCCTGCTTGTTGTCAAACTATTTTATAAATGTAACAAGAGGCAATTCAATCATAACATAATAACAGCTACCATAACATTATTTAAAAATATGTGGGCCTTTTTGGATTCTCGGAAACTATAGAAATTAAAAATGTAAAACACGAAATACAAAAGGACCATTATTATTGTTTACATCCCTCAAAATGATCTATATGGTTTAGCGGCTGTTCCCCTGCGCAGTCCTCAATAAGCACGTTTGCAAGCATTAACACAAAGAAAACAAAGTAAAATTGCTTTAATTCAATAGAAATTATTCCAAAACAGCCCAGAAATTAAATGTTTGGTCACACTTTATTTTCAGGTATACTTCTTGCTATTAATAAACAATTAACTAAGAATTCTAGTTTAATAAACTTCTAATTTGCTGCTAATTAATAGTTATGAAGGTAGTCGTTGGGTTTAGGTGTTTGGATAGGGTTTGGGATGTAGAATAAAATCATTCTGTATGAATACTAATAAACAGTTAACATCGTAATAAGAAGCAGGTAAGTAAAGCCAGTAACTATTAGTAGGAGTTGCTACCTAAACTAAAGTGCAGCCAATCTCTGTTCCTTGTAACTTCCGTGCATTTGGAACATTTGAATGCTGCTGTTTTTGTATACTAATATACTTATGTGCTAAACTTACCGTGTACTTGAATATGCATCTGTTAATTTTGACCTATGTGTGGATTATTGGGGTATATCTAAAAAGATTATCGGCAGAAACATGAATGTGACAGACAGAGCAGCTCACTGTTTCCAATGCTTGAAATGCTGAAGAAAATCCCAAATATTGTTGTGAGAAGTTTATGAAGGCAACTATGAATTGAACCGATTGTCTTCTGAATAAGGTTTTAGATGGTATTTTCTTTTCAATTTATTTCCGTGTAATGAATTTTAATGCCAGCACAGCTGCTTTGTTTACCGTTGAAGCACCATTATTCTTGCTGTTACCAACAGTAACAGTATTTGCATTTGTGATTTTTTAAATTTTTAATTCAAAGCTAAAGTCGAACCATTATGTTATAACTTCTCATTTTGTAATTATTGTACTTCAACTGCTTCCTGTGCAAGTGAATGTTTGTAGCATTTTAGTGTGGATTGTGATTACAGCGCAGCACTTTATTTCATCTCATTTTAAATTGCTACTGATAGTTCAGCAAATAAGCATCTGGTTCCTCTACTTGTATTTTAATAAATTTATTTATTGATTTCAAGTTTGAAGCTTGAAGGTTAATGGATTAATCTAAATTCAATCAGTATCAGGACATGTTTGTAGAAATTGTAGAATGTTTTCATTGATCTTAATTCAAACTAATATATCGAATTATGTCTATTCATGAGAAAAAAAAACTATTCTACTATTAGGTGTATGACTGTGCACAGATGATTGCAGTCAGTAAACTATTTTAAAACGCAGACGTCAAATGAATCTGTTTATGAGCTATAGAAACACATCACAGCTATTGATCAACCTTGAGGAGATCATAAATGGTAAAAAATATACCTAATACCTAGTCCTAAAATATAATAATGTATATCTGAAATATTGTGAACAGCTTCAGGCATACATATAGACCATGGGGGAAAATAAGTATTTGTCACCATTTTTTTTCAGAAAATATTTCTGATGGTGCTGTTGACCTCCGAGATGTTAAAAGCAACCAAAGTAATCCGTATATGCAAAGAAAACAAATCTAATTAGTTTACAAATGAAGTTGTGTGTAATAAAATGAAATGACACAGGAAAAAAGTATTGAACACATGAAAAAAGGAATGTGTAGAAAGGCACAGAAAGCCTAGACAGCAGCTGAAATTTCTTAGTAGTTATTCAGCAACCTGAATGTCATTATACGTTAATATTTGCTGCTTCAGTCCAGCATCTACATTAGCAAGAGGATGAAGATAAAACCAAAGTGGAAATTTCAGCATGACATTGATCCAAAACACAGGCAAGGAAACTTTCAAATGTTTTCAGTGAAAGAAAATCAAGCTGTGGAATGGCCCGGCCAATCACCTGATCCGAATCCAATAGAAAATACAAAATAAAGCTCAGATTTAATAGACGAGACTTACAGAATCATCAAGATGTTTCACTCTATTGAAGTCTGTGAAAAGAATCACACATGAACAATGCATGTGACTTCATTCTGCTCATGAGAGGCATCTTTAACCTGCCATCACCAAAAAAGACTTTTATATAAAGTGTTAAATACGTTTCAGTAGTTCAGCACTTTCTTCTTGTGTCATTTCATTGTTATTTCATTATTGTTTTATTTTTATATTTGTATTATTTGGGTTTAGTTTACAAAAACTGATTCAATTTCATGTCAACAGCTCGTTTATAAATGATTATTCCCAGAAAAAAAAACATGACATGTTCAATATTTATTTTTCCTGCTTTAGGAGTGTAAATTGACTCTAAATATAACTCAACGTGATCAATAAAGTCATACTAGCTGTAAAACCTCTCAAGAGCAGTTTATTCTGTCCAAAAAATAATAATAAAAATCCATAATCGGCCATTGAAAATGAAGATCAGTGTGTCAATAGTGTCTACCATGCAACAGTGTTTATGATGCTTGACAGCTTGTGATATCATACTTTTGTCTTCCACAGAAGAATCTAACATAGATCTGAAACCCATGAGGATGACTAAGCAATGTAATTTCTCTCTTCTTTTTCCCTGTTTGAGTGACAATTTGGTACAAACCGATTGTGACCGCTCACGTTTCGTCTTGTGTTCCCGCAGTCGAGAGCTCTCAGCCTCCGTCCTCCTCCAGCAACTCGGACGAGAACATTCGCTCCATCCTCGAGCAGGCTCGCAGGGAGATGGAGGCGCAGCAGGTGGCACTGGAGCCCGTCTTGAAGGCCAGCTCCATGGGCCCGACGGACCTCTCGCTCCTGGGCTCCAAACTCCTGGGCTCCCCGCTCTCCACCCTGCCCTACACCCCCATCACCCAGTCCCTGAAGAAGCCCTCTAGTTCACCGCTGCTGGACTTCCACCATGGTGGAGTGAAGAAGGAGATGGGCGAGGTGGCCGTTTCGGATGTGGGTCTGGACGGAGTGGTGCCCAAGCTGGGCCGTTTGTCTGAGAGCGGTTTGGGTGGTGGCTCGTGGAGGGAGCACTGGTGGAGCACAGGCCTGTCAGAGCGCCGCGGGTCCAGCCAGCCCTCCGTTAGTGAAGACGCACACAGTCAAGAGGACAGCAAAGAGGTATAATCATGGTGTTCCTGTACTGTTATTGTATTTGCTTCTATATTTTAAAATGTTTTTAGTTTTGTGTGTGTGTTTGTGTGTGGATATTCATTGTCTATAGAAAATCATCATAACCTGTGAAAATCTATACCTTATGCCAAGTTCAGACTGTTCACGATGTAGTAGTCGAGTCTCAGATGTTTTCACTCTGCATGACTATCTGGGGTAGCGTTTTTGCTGCTGCTTTGTTTACACTGAAAGATGGATCGGCGACAGGGGGTTTCACACTGCATGACTTCACAATAGGAAGAATCGCCAACAACTTTTGTCTCGGTCTGCAAAGTACGTCCCGCAACCAAACACACCTGAGAAGTGACATGGAAACAACACGAGTTCACGTTGTATATTTTATTGTTATTAACTACTTAATGAGACCGAAGTCTTTAGTGGGGTAGAAACTGTGCTTATTTAGCTCGTCTGGGTTTGAAGCGATCTAGCGATTTCTCCACAACGTTTATTGATCAAATCATTTCTTGGGTCCAAACAAACAGAAAGTGAGCACCCATACTAGTGGATGCTGCTCTCTCATTGACTGTAGGTGATCGGCCATGTTTCACATTTCACACGACATGATTTCTAATCGCCGACAGGTCCAGATCAAGTGTGCCGCAAGCCTGCGTTTGAGTGAAGGTCTCGGCCGTTAGATCGCCCCCTGGGGGCTGGCTGCAGTACAAGTCATAAAGCCCGCCTCCTCCGTGTTAATGAAGGAGACTTGAGCCCAAATAAAAAATGTTATTACACTTGCAATAAAATGTCCCGAAAGATGGTTCTGGTCGATTAAGGCACTGGTTATTGTGCTGAAATAGGTGCAGATCTTCATTTTTGTAAACAGTTTGTTTTTAGCAGTAATTTAATGCTTGGCGTGTCATCGTGATTGTCAGCTGTGATTGACAGTTTCTCAAAGCAGCGCGTCTGAGCTTCGGCAGGAGACTGAAGTGTTATTATTCGATTTCTGTATTATTTTACCATGACAAAATGAGTTCAGCAGTAAACTACAGTTTCTGACCTACATGATCCTGGTGGAACACTGTTTATTCGCTAAGGTCAGGGCTTTTTTCGGGCTTTATTAGTTTGCTGATACACGTACGCCTAGCCACCCAGATAGCAAAATACACTCGGGCCAGTTCCAGCTAGATTCTCGCCTGCCGGAGACTTACCCCTCAGAGCTCAGACTGACTAACTCTGCTGGACCTACTCCGGATGCCTAAACTCACTGCCCGATTCCAGCCCGAGTCAATCGAGCCAGATGCGGCGGCCGAGCGAGCCGGCGCTGCCACATGCGAGCCGGAATCAGCCCGCGACGCCGCTAGTAGGTTATGCGCTGCGGCCCGGAGCTGGCACGATTGAATATATCAAACCCTCATATTTGTTAACGTTATTACATCCATTTGTGTTGATATGACAGCAAACGCATGCTGAGAAGTTCGGGGGGCATGGTTGATTTTACATAAAGCGTTTGGTTGAAAGCTCGACTCCACTCATTTTCGCGGCTCCTCCTCTGGCTCCATCAGACAGTCCTTCTACGCATGTCAAAGCTCCTATTTCAGCAGTCTTTTGCGACAGTTTGTGCCCGTCAAGCAGGCGTTTCGCCCTCAAGGCGTTCAATGGGAAAAGGGGCTGTCGTGTCGTCCATATTTTTTACAGTCATTGGTCCAGATATTTAGCATGCCAAATATTTCTCATGGGTGTCAGCGACTCATCTGCGATTCTCTCTGATCGCGTCTTTGATAGTTCATACTGTGTGATTGTTACTCGCAGGAACGAGCACCAATTTGTCTGTGATTTTAGGCATATGACGGCAATTTCTCAAAAACTGTCAGCGAGTCAAAATCGGGGCTAAAATCGTGCAGTCTGAACTTGGCATTACTCCCATTACACCCTGCTTTCAAAAGACCTTCAGGATAAAGTTGTAGAAAGGCACAGATTAGGAGAAGGCTACAAAAATATTTCAAATGCTGGAAGTTATTTGGAATGTGATTTGATTTCAGGCTGCATGACAAACAATGTTATTATTTTTCCAATGTTAAAGGTGCAGTAGGTGATCTTTCACAATGCTAACAGCTGAGCATAAATCTCTGAATCACAGTCCCTCCCCTGCCGCCCAGAGCCACGCCTCCTGAAACAGCACGCACACCTTAAAGATGACAGCAAAAGAACGCTCTCTCATGTGTTAAAAGCGACTAGTGCTCGTCCGGCGGCGTGCAGGAATTACACTCATTACTAAGCCAAACTGACATGCGATTACATAGCGAATATTTAGAGTAGCATGATAAACCATATAGGGAGAAGCTGCGTCCCAAATGGCACACTATACACTATGCACTCATGCACTATGTACTTACGCACTATGTACTTACGCACTTACACACTCAACAGGATAGTACATGTATGTAGTGTCGTCCCAAATGGCACACTGTTTTTTTACTAAGCAGAAATTCAAACCGTTTCCCTGATGACGTTTGACGGTTGCCAAATAAGTGAAATAAACGACCGAATTATCATATAATACCTGCCATGAGTATTGCCGCATTCACCATCGGGAGGTGCTATAATCACTCTCGTAGGAGAATTTTGCTTTCACCATCCAAAATAAATAAAGTTATCCAACATGTGCGTCCGATAGCTCCGCCCCTTCCGCTACGTAAGCAAACCTGCGGTCGTTGAGTGCATGAAGTGTCCATCATTCCACACTTCATTTTACCAGCTGAATGAGTGCATCATCCGGGTAATTAAAGTACACTTATTATTTGTAGAGTTTTCAGTGTGAACGCACTACTTACACTATTTATACAACAAAATGGCGTAGAATAGTGCATAAGTATGCAATTTAGGAGGCAGCTAGAGACAAGGCAGAATAGTGGAATTTACTGATGTTTTGTTGTTAAACTAATTATAAATCTACATTATCGATGCTGTAAAAGGTCCCTTATGAAACTGAAAATAGTCTTATCAATCTTTCACCGAAAGATTTTAGTGGCTGAACAACACTTCTGTAAAGATATAACTCATTTGTAACAACAACATCTAACGTTACATCAGCTTTGCGTGAAGCTAAAATAGTTTTAAAACAAAACATTACCTGTCTAAGAGGAATCCTTGGTGTCATCCTTTCTCCAGCGTGAGAGTTAACTCCAATATTGATTGAGGTTTTTAAAAAGTTTTGTTTCAGCATGTTTTTGCTAATCGCATACGTGCTCTCTAACTCTCCCATGAACGCGCAGCACGTCTATGCACAAACAGGGGTCGGCGGAGCTGCGTACAAACGGCTGTGCAGTTGTTTAAAATTTGCATTTGCTGACAGACAGTTTGAGCTGCTTATCGGAAGTATGAAAGATGTCGGCCCAACTCTGTTTAATTGGATGAACATGTTTTAGTTTTATGCCTTACCCAAAATATGAAAATACATATAACTACATTTAGGTCATTTACTTTAATCATTACTAGTGAAATGTGAAGAGACTTTCAACCAGCACAACAACAAATGTTTCTGAAGGCAATCACCTACTGCACCTTTAATCTTTATTCCATTATTTTTCATTTTTTATTTAGTTTTTTAGTCATGTTACTATTTAAACAATTGTTTTATTTCAATCATTTGCCTTCTGCTACTTTTTCGTTTTTCATCAATGTTTTTACTTTATTCTCTTTTATTGTAATAGTTTTAGTTTATGACGACACTGAATAACTTGTAAATAATGCTATTTCTTTTCTATATGTTTAGATCACTATTAGATGTGCAAATCATAAGGTAAAACAGAATTAAATAAATATGAACAAAATTCAATTGGAAGCAGAGTAAAACTGTAGTCAATTTTTATTTTAGTTAATTCATTTTTTTTTCTTTTGCTTAATATTTGCTTATTTTTTATTTCAGTTTTTTCAGAATTTATTAAAATATGTCTACTTAATTTCTCTAAATAGTCAATTAACAAAAAGGGTTATTTAGTTAGTTAATATATTTATTCACATGAACTAATAATTAACAATGCTTATTTTTTAATGAATTATTCAATTCCAAATTCATGCTTGTTTGCATTAATTAATTATTGCAAATAAGTTACCATGATCTTACAATGAACAATTGTATTTCCTAAATTTCTAATGTTAAACGAAGATGAATAAATACTGTAATAAATATATTGTTCATAGTTTGTTCATATTAGTAAATCCATTACCTAACTAATATGACCATGTTGTAAAGTGTTAACCTGCAAGTCTCCCAGCACCAACCCTAATAGTGATATTGCATTCTGTTTCATCCTTAAGATCTGTATTTACTTTATATCACTCTAGTCTAAACTGCAAAGCCCATTCATTAGCTTACCCAAACTCTGCCACTCTCTCTGCTCACCAGAAGCTCCCTCGGCTGGGCAGCACTGCGCCGGTGGCTCCTGCGTCGTCTCTGGATTACTGGAAGGACTGGCCGAGCTCAGAATCGCCGTACTCTCAGAGCTCAGAGCTCAGCCTGCAGATGCCCAGTGGCAGTGAGACCCCTCAGAGCAGCCCACTGCCTTCCTCCTCGCCCTTACTGTCCCTGCCCAAAGTGGCCAAACCTGTGGTGCCGCCGCTTACGCCAGAGCAATACGAGTACTACATGTACCAGGAGGTGGACACTGTCGACCTCACACAGCAGGTCAAAGAAAAACTCGCCAAGAACGGCATCTGCCAGCGCATCTTCGGGGAGAAGGTCAGTGCTTTTCATATCAGATATACTTCCATCAAAATGACATTACAGTATCAACAAATGTTCTGCTCTGGCATGTAGACGTGTAAAAATGTGGTTGTTTCACTACTGAACGAATCAGAATTTTTAAACAAATATTTTGAACGAATGATTCATTGACCCACTCATAAAGACAGGATTTTCATTGCTGCATGAATCGGCATATTTAGGAAAATCTTTGGAATAAATTATTCAGTGACCCATTTTTGATAGATTCATTACTGGATGAATCAGCATTTTTAAACAAATCTTTTGAGCAAATGATTCAGGGATTTATTTTGATAGATTCATTACCAGGTTAATCAACATTTGGTCACACTTTACAATAAGGTTCATTAGTTAATGTTAATTACTGCATTTACTAACGGGAACAAACAATGAACAATACATTTACTACTGTATTTGTTCATGTTAGTTAACGTTAGTTAATGAAAATACAGTAGTTCATTGTTAGTTCATGTTAACTCACGGTGCATAAACTAATGTTAACAAGCATGGACTTGGATGTTAATATTGCATTAGTAAATGTTCAATTATGATTAATAAATGCTGTACAAGTGTTGTTCATGATCAATTCATGTTAGTAAATGCATTAACTAATAAACTTTATTGTAAAGTGTTACCCAACATTTTTTATCAAATCATTTGACAAAAGATTCAAAAACTCAAAAAGACTTGATTGTTTTACTACTGGATGAATCAGCATTTTTAAACAACTCTTTTCAATGAATCATTCAATTGCCCACTCAATGGCTTGATTGTTTTATTACTGGATGAATCAGCATTTTTAAACAAATCTTTTGAATAAATAATTCAGTAACCTACTTTTGATTGTTTTATTATCGGGTGAATCCACTTTTTTATCAAATCATTTGACAAATGATTCAGTTACCCACTCATAAAGACTTGATTGTTTCACTACCGGATGAATCACCATTTTTAAACAAATCTTTTGAATAAATGGTTCAGTGACCCACTTTTAATAGATTCATTACTGGATGAATTAGCATTTTTAAATAAATCTTTTAAACGAATAAATCAGTAACCAACTTTTGATTATTTCATTATCGGGTGAATCAACATTTTTTAACAAATCATTTGAACAAATGATTCAGATACTCATTCAAAAAGACTTGAAGGTTTCACTACTGGATAAATCAGCATTTTTCAACAAATCTTTTGAATAAATTAGATTCAGTTACCCACTTTTGATAGATTCATTACCAGGTGAATCATCATTTATTAATGAATCATTTGAACCGATGACTCAGTTACCCACTTTTGATAGATTCATTACTGGGTGAATCATCATCTTATATCAGTTCATTTGACAAATGATTTATTCACCCACTCAAAAAGACTTGATTGTTTCACCACTGGATGAATCAGCATTTTTATACAAATCTTTTGAATGAATGATTCAGTGACCCACTAATAAAGGCTTTCACAACTGTCTTATTTAATTAGATTGAATCGCACTAGAGTTCGTTTTCCCTTTTGGTGCGGTTCGTTTGGGTAGGTGTGAATGCAGCAATCATACTCGAATGCGCACCAAAAGCGGACCAAATAAGCATACCGAGACCTGCTTGAAAAGGTGGTCTCGGTACGCTTTCAAACGCACCCTGGAGCGGTTCGTTTGTGGTGAGAATATGATCCGTACTAAAACAGGTCCAACCGCAAAAAGTACTGCGCCTTTTAAACTAATCCAGCTGCCGTAGGCCGATGTGCTGTGCACTATGGGATATGGAGGAAAAATATTTGTTGACAGCGATTTACCAACAGAGAGAGAGAGAGAGAGGAAAACATTACCTGATGGAACTTTATATTTTCGCAAGATGACAATGTCGCCGTTTAGCTAAGTTAATTTACGCCTCCTCCTGAAGTGACGAGCGATGCATTAGAACACTGTTTTCCAGCCGCGGCTGTGCTTCATTCTCGAAATGTATAGTAAGTCTAAAGCAGGAATGCAATCAGTCAGCGCAATCGTAAAAACGACATTTTGTGTCTGCCGGTTTTGTTTACTCGCGGGAGTTCGTTGGCATTTTCCCGCACGTGAGTTCTAACCAATCAATAAGCAGTTTGAGAACTATGTTCAACATCTGGCCAATGAGAGATGTGAATTTTGTCAGATGGCTGCATTTTGGTTCGTTTCAAATGGTTCGGAGCAAAGCCAGCAGTGTGGTGTGAAAACGACCCAAAGACGGCAGAAAATGCAACAATGTATCATTTATTGCCCTTGGTCCGGACCAAATGAAGCAAACTACAGATGTGAAAGCACCCAAAGACTTAATTGGTTCATTGCTGGATGAATTTGCATTTTTAAACTTCACATGTTTGTGTGAATCATACACTTCTAACCGTAGTTCTGCTAAAAATGTTTTGCGCATTTGCGTGTTTGTCATTTTCATTTTTATGCTGCATGCAAATGTATGAGTTCGTAATAGCAGCTGCATCTTTCTTCTGATTGCATCATGTAATATCTTGATATTTGTTTCAGGGCTGTTTTGGTCTCATTTTGTGTGTGTGTGCGTGTGTGTGTGCGTGTGTGTGTGTGTGTGTGTGTGTGTGTGTGTGTATTGCAGGTGCTGGGTCTCTCTCAGGGGAGTGTGAGCGACATGCTCTCTCGACCAAAGCACTGGAGCAAACTCACACAGAAGGGAAGGGAGCCGTTTATACGCATGCAGTTATGGCTGAACGGAGAGCTGGGACAGGCACTGATGCCAATGCCTGGACAGACACAAGGTAACGCCGTTTACAGTCATCCACTTTTTACAAAGCATCCACACAAACAATAGAGCCGCAGCATCTGGGTTCTTCCTGCACTAAAGAAAAAAATAGTTTGGAGCTTTATTGGTTTGGAGCTTTATTTATTACTTTAAATGAGTCCAAAATGAACACAAAGAGGTTTATTTTATGAATTTAAAATTATAAAATAGGACGCCTTTATTTTCATTCATTCAGTTTCCTTCAGCTTAGTCTCTATTTCAGTGGCATGAACTGCCAACTATTTTGGCATATTTTTAAAAGCTAGGTTGCTGCCGGAAGTGGTGTCAGTGAAACCATTAGGGGATGCTCAACCTGCGGTCTTTGTAGGTCCTAACACCCCTGTATATTGATTGGGACTCTATTCTGCTCAGTGAGCGTCATCTAACGATGAGATGTTAAACCAAGGTCCTGACTCTCTGAGGTGGTTAAAAATCCCAGGATGTCCTTCGAAAAGGAGTAGGGGTTTAACCCTGGCATCCTGGCCAAACTTGCCCACTGGCCTCTGTCCATCATGGCCTCCTAACCCTCCCCATATCATAATTAGCTTCATCACTCTTTCTCCTCTCCACCAATAAGCTGGTGTGTGATTTACAGTCTGACGCCGTCACGTCATCCAGGTGGAAGCTGCATACTTTAAACATTGTCATATTTAAATATTCTAAAAATAAAGTAGCCTTTGACAGGATAGTGTTGTGATTTACAGTGAGTAAAATAGTTCAAACTGATTTTGTAATTAAATTTAACTTCAGAAAAGCATCAGCTCAAATCATTTCATGCTCTGCTTGAACCAAAACCCCCGGAAGGGCTTGCTGTGTGACATCAGCGTAGGTTTATCTGAACAATGAAAAGTGCGTAGTGACTCAAGACGGATGTGAAAGCATCACGTTCTGTTGTGGCTTTGGTTTCTTGGTTTCACTCTTCGTGTTTTGAGTTGGCGTCAAAGCCACCATTCATTCAGCTATTCTTATCGTTTGGCATGGGCGTTCGAGACTGCAAAACTCTCCCTCATATCTCGTTTTCACCAATCACATCCGCTTCTGCTCACCAAAATGACATTACACTCAAATATCTAATTTCATTCCTAAGGCAAGACATTAAAGATGAAAAAGAGTCAAAAACTAAAAACAAAGTAAATATATTTCCATTATCCCCCCAGTTGATTAAAAATTTTAATTTCACATTACAAATTGCAAACATTTTACTGTAGGCAAGTGTTAATGTAAGTATAATGTTAAAATATGCAAATGAGGTGTTGTTTGATTTAATATGCACTAATTTAAATATATTTCTAGCACAAAAATCAGAACATTGGATGAAGTCAAACAGAAATGTCAAAAAAAAAATTCTTGAATTATAATGTGATTCAAATACACAAAAAAATTTGACTCCTCTGTAATTAATAATTAAAATAAGTAATACTTACATATGATATATAAATAGATATGTGTGGTTATGTTTATTATTATTATTATTATTATTATTATTATTATTATTAATATTATCTTAATTAATATTATTAGTATTGTTATTATTATTATATTTATTGATATTATTATTATTATTATTAATAATAATAATAATAATAATAATAATAATAATAATAATTTAATATTTTATTATTAGTAGTAGTATTATTATTATATATTATTATCATTTATTATTGTTATTATTATTATTATTAGTATCTTTATTATTATTATTAGTTTTAATAGTATATTTATTTATTTATAATAATAATATTATTATTATTATTATTATTATTATTATTATTATTATTAATGATATTAATAATAATAATAATAATTTATTTATTGTTTTTATTATTACTTATTGCTATTATTATAATATTATTCTTATATATTATTATCATTTATTATTATTATTATTATTTATTGTTATAATTATTCATTATTAATTTATGTTTAATGTTATTATTGTTATTTAATTATTATTATTATTATTATTTTTCTATTTATTTTTTCTTTATTTATTTTTCACACAGTGGAACCAAAGGATTTTACAGGGGGAATTTGACTATTTTTTTATCACTTAATAATTCCAGTAGAAAAAGAATAAATTACAATTTTATGAAAAATAAAATGTTGTCTACATATTGTGTATGAAATTATCCCTCTGTTAAAACCTTCAGAGTAAACATACAAATAAAACTTTATTATGGTTATTGTTTTATGTATTTATTTATAATTATTATTGCTTATTATTATTCTTATTATTATTTATTTATTATTTTTGTTATTATTTATTTATTTATTTATTTTTATTTTTCACACAGTCGGGCCAAATTTCTTTTATCACTTCATAATACCAGAAGAAGAAAAAAAAATCACAATTTTATGTAAAATAAAATGTTGTACATATTATGTATGAAAATATCCCTCTGTTAAAACCTGTATGTAAGTGCTGCTGAAATTGAGATTTATGGTTCAGTGCAGGAGAAAAAAACTCATTTTTAAGATTGTAATTATTATTAGCCTTAAAAATATGCACTGTAATTAAAATCAGACGTTCACAAGAAACACATATTAGGTGTATTTTGGTTATTACTTCCCATTAGACAAAAAAAAAGCTGTTAAACATTAAACCTGTGATTTTGGCTATAACTTATAATATCTGTCTGATTAAAGCAGGCCACTGTGAGATGCAGAAAAACAACATATCTTGAAACTGCGAACGGCTGCGTTCCTTTGACTGATACTAGTTTTAGCCTGGCTTGAATAAACAACCGGGGGCAAAGCAAATCTCAGTGTAATTCTTCAGTAGTTCAGCCAGCTGTACCTCGCGTGGCCTTACGGTGGGAGAATTTAAATTACTCATGACTAAATGGATACAGGATCATACTGTTGACCCAGTTTTACTGTGGAATCATTATGCTAGAATAACGGCATTCTGTTGATCGATCTTAGATGTTTATTAAAGCGCTACATAATTGCTTGCTCTCATACTTGGCAATAGGGTTTTGAACAAGCCCCAAAACCAAAAGGTCACCCTTTGGTGTGTTATTTATTATAGCGTAAGTTCAGAATCACACTTCTTTTCTTATGAAACCATGATTCTTAATAGATGACTAAACCAAATAACATTATGGTAGTAACAAATTATTCAAGGTACTGACAGTTGATTCATAAAGACACCAGTGATGAATTCACTTGTTTCATTACAGGATGAATCAGAATTTTTGAATGAATCTCTTGAACAAGTGATTCAGTGACTGCCTCCTAAAGACTTGTTTCATTGTTGACTGTGAATCTGACTGATTCAATACAAACTTCAGTTGCTTTGTAACTCGATGAATCAGCATTTTTGAACGAATCTCTTGGACAGTTAATTTAATGACTCACTTTTAAAGACTTGTTTTATTGTTGAGTGTGAATCTGACTGATTCAATAAAAACTTTAGGTGTTTTGTAACTGAATGAATCAGTATTTTTGAATGAATCTCTTGAACTAGTGATTCAATGACTCCCTCAATAAGACTTGTTTTGTTACTGGTTGAATCAGCTTTTTTGAACAAATAACTTAAACGAATGATTAAGTCACTCATCACAGATTTGTTTCCCTACTGGATAAATCAGTTTTGTTTAATGAATCTCTTGGACTAGTGATTCAATGACTCCCTCATGAAGACTTGAGGTTTCTTTACTGTATGAATCAGCTTTTTTGAACAAATCATTTAAATCAATAAATAAATCACTCAATCAAAAAAGCTTGTTTCATTATAGGATGAATCAGCTTTATTAAATGGATCTCTTGAACAGTTGATTCAATCACTCACTCATAGACTTGTTTCATTGTTGAGTGTGAATCTGACTGATTCAATAACTTTAGTTGCTTTATTACTGAATGAATCAGCATTTTTTAATCAATCTCTTGAAAAAGTGATCCAGTGACTTCCTCCTAAAGAGTTTCTTTTATACTGGATTGTGAATCTGGCTGATTCAATAAAAACTGCAGTTGATTTGTAATTTTAATGAATCTCTTAGACAGTTGATTCAATAGCTCTCTTCTGAAGATTTGTTTCATTACTGGATAAATCAGCTTTTTTCAACAAATAACTTGAATAAATGATTGAATAACACATTCAGGTGATTCATAAAGACGCCCGTGATGAATTCATTTGTTTCACTACTGGATAAATCAGCTTTATTGAACGTAATTCTTGAACAATTGATTCAAATACGCCCTCCTAAAGACTTGTTTCGTTGTTGACCTTGAATCTGACTGATTCAATATGAACTTCAGTCGCTTTGAAGCTGAAGGAATCAGCATTTTCAAATGAATCGCTTCAACAAGTGATTCAATAACTCCCTCGGGCAGAGTTGTTTCATTACTTGATTAATCAGCTTTATTAAACAAATCTTCTAAATAATTGATTCAATGACTCACTCATAGACTCGTTTCATTGTTGACTGTGAATCTGACTGATTCAACACAAAGTTCAATTGCTTTGTAACGGAATGAATCAGCATTTTTGAATGAATGACTTGAATAAGTGATTCAATGACTCCCTTGTGAAGACTTGTTATTTTACTGGATGAATCAGCTTTTTTGAACAAATACATTGAACTAATAACTAAATCATTAGCTCACAAAGGTTTGTTTCACTACTGGATAACTCAACTTTATTAAACAAATCTTTTGGAATAATTGATTCAGTGACTCGTTACATTGTTGACTGTGAATCTGACTGATTCAACACCAAGTTCAATTGCTTTGTAACGGAATGAATCAGCATTTTTGAATGAATGTCTTGAACAAGTGATTCAATGACTCCCTTGTGAAAACTTGGTTACTGGATGAATCAGCTTTTTTGAACAAATAACTTGAACTAATGACTACATCAAAGATTTGTTTTACTACTGAGTAAATTATCTTCATTAAATAAATCTATCGAACCGAATCATTGACTGACTCCCTTATGAGGACTTGACTGGATGGCTCCGCTTTTTGAACATATCT